AGCAGCACCAGACACCAACCAGACCTACAGACTCCACAGGACGCCCACCACCCCGCCGAACACTGGGCTGCATGTTAAGACTCTCCAGGACAGACCACGAGCCTCAAAACCTGAAGAATGAAAGCACACAGGACATGCTCGATGAAATCAGAAATCAAGTAACAGGAGGAAATTGGAAATTCACAAGCATGTGGAGATTAAGCAACAAACTCCTAAATAAACAATGGGTAAAAGAAGAAATCACAAGAGAAGTTAGAAAATAAGAATAAATAAACATGAATATACAATATGATAAAATGTTTAGGATGAAGCTAAATCAGTGCTTAGATGAAAATTTATACCCATAAACATCTACATTAAAAAGTAAACCTCAAAATAAGCTAAACTTACAATGAAGAAAGTATGACAAAACTGAAAGCTTATAAATGCAAAAAACCCAAGGAAATAAAGGTTAGAGTGGAAATTAACCAAGCAAAAAATGAAAAATAATAGAGGACAACTTCAAATAGATCAGTAAAACTGATTAATTCTTTAGCTAGACTAACCAAGAAAATAGAAGACGACTCACATTTCTAAAATCAGGAATGACAGAAGCGACACTGCTATCACCCTTGTTTTTGCTGTTTCATCACCGAGTCGTGTCCAACTCTGGGCGACCTCATGGACTTGGCAGCACCCAGGCTTCCCTGTCCCTCACCATCTCCTGGAGTTTGCCCAAGTTCATGTCCATTGAGTCGGTGATGCCATCCAACCATCTCATCCTGTCATCCCTTTCTCCTCCTGCCCTCAATCTTTCCCAGCATCAGGGTCTTTTCCAATGAGTCAGCCCTTTGCATCAGGTGGCCAAAGTATTGGAACTTCAGCATCAGTCCTCCCAATGAGTATTCAGGGTTGATTTCAAGATTGACTGGTTTGATCTCCTTGCTGTCCAAGGGACTCTCAAGAGTCTTCTCCAGCACCACAGTTCAAAAACATAAATTCTTCAGCGTTCTGCCTTCTTTATAGTTCAGCTTTCACAATCATCTATGACTACTGGAAAGACCATAGCCTGACCATAGCCTTGACTATTTGAATCTTTGTCAGCAAAGTGACGCCTTTGCTTTTTAACACATTGTCTAGGTTTGTCACAGCTTTCCTACCAAGAAGCAATCATCTTCTAATTTCATGGCTGCAGTGATCTGAGAGCCCAAGAAGAGGTTTGTCACTGCTTCCCCTTTTCCCCTTCTATTTTCCATGAAGTGATGGGACCAGATGCCATGGTCATAGTTTTCTTAATGTTTAGTTTTAAGCTGGCTTTTTCACTCTCCTCCTTCAAGAGGTTCTTTAGTTCCTCTTTGCTTTCTGCCATTTGAGTGGTATCATCTGCATATCTGAGGTTGTTGATATTCCTCCTGGCAGTCTTGATTCCAGCTTATGCTCCATCCAGTCGGCATTTCTCATGGTGTGCTCTGCATAGAAGTTAAGCAGGGTGACAATCAACAGCCCTGTTTACTCCTTTCTCAATCCTGAACCAGTCCGTTGTTCCATACAAGGCTCTAAGCAACAGCTTCTTGACTGGCATACGGGTTTCTCAAGAGACAGGTAAGATGGTCTGCTACTTTCTTTTAAGAGTTTTTCACAGTTGTTATGGTCCACTTTGTCAGAGGCTTCGGTGTAATCAATGAAACAGAGGTAGATTTTTTTTTTTTGGAACTCCTTTACTTTCTGTATGATCCAGCAAATGTTGGCAATTTGAACTCTGGTTCCTCTGCCTTTTCTAAACGCAGCTTGGACATCTGAAGTTCTCAGTTCATGTAATGCTGAAGCCTAGCATGAAGAATTTGATCATTAGCTTATGAGCATGGGAGACGAGAGCGACTGTCTGGTGGTTTGAACATTGTTTAGCACAGCCCTTCTTAGGAACTGGGATGAGGACTGGCCTTTTCCAGTCCTGTGGCCACTGCTGGGTTTTCAAGTTTGCTGACATGTTCAGGTAGCACTTTGACAGCATATCTCTTAGGATTTTAAATAGTTCTGCTGGAATCCCATCACCTCCCCTAGCTTTGCTGACAGCAGTGCTTCCTAAGGCCCACTTGACTTCCCAGCCCAGAATGTCTGTCTCTGGGTGAGTGACCACACCATTGTGGTTATCCAGGGCATTAAGACCTTTTTAGTCCAGTTCTGTGTATCCTTTCCATCTCTTCTGCTTCTATTAGGTCTTTACTGTTTCTGTCCTTTTTCGTGCCCATCTCTGGCTGAAATGTTCCTTTGCTATTTCCAATTTTCTTGAACAGATCTCTAGTCTATCAACCTTATGGAAACATAAATGATTATAAAGGAATACTATGAACTGTATGTATAACCTAGATAAGATGGACAGATTTCTAGAAACATACAAACGACTGAACTGACCATGTGGGATTTATCCCATGAATGCAAGGATGGTTCAACACATGACAATCAGTGAATGTAGTATGCCATATCAACAGAAGAAAGGATAGAAACCACACAATCATTTCAATAGATACGGAACGTGCATTTGACAAAAACTCAACTCCCTTCATGACAAAACACTCAACAAACTAGGAACATAAGGGAACATCCTCAACCTGCTACGCGGCAACTACAAGAAGCCCAGCTACCGTCACACTCTGTGGAAAAAGACTGAAAGCTCTTCTCAGATCAGGCACGAGAAGAGGATGTCTCTTCTCTCCAGTTCTCTCTGGCTCTGCTCTGAGGCTCCAGCCAGAGCAACTAGACAAGACAAAGAGATAAAAGGAATCCAAACTGCGAAGGAAGAAACACAACTTTCTCTTGCAGATGACTTGACAGTGTGTACAAAAAATCCTAAGGAATCTACACACGCATACACAGCCCTATTAGAACTAGTAAGTGAGCTGAGCACTTTCAGGATATACGATCAATGTAAAACAATCAGTTGTAATATCTAGGTATTAGTAGTAAACAATCCAAAAATGAAATTCAGAGAACTACATTTACAATGGCATCAAACAGAATAAAACATTTAAGAATAAATTTAACAAACGCAACACCTGGTATAGGAAAAACTACAAAACTATGAAAATACAAAGAAAACCTAAGTATATGGAAAGATGCTCTAAGTTCACTAAGTTTAAAATTTAAGACGACATTACGTTTAACCTCTAACATCAAAGGGGTTGGGGGTACCTACCCCCCCTGCATCTGTGGTTCTGCCTCCGAGGATTCACCCAACCACAGCTCATGTGGGACCCCAAAGTATTTACCGTTGAAAAAAATCCTCGCATAAGAGTCAACACAGTCCTTAAAATCTCAGACACCTTTTTATTTCTTGGCAGAAATTGACAAGCTCATCCTAAAATTTATATGGAAATCTAAAAGACCCAGAACGGCCAAAACAATGTTTTTTAAAAAGAACAAAGTTGGAGGCTTTCAAAAGTTCCCACAAGGCTGCATCAGTCAAGACTGTGTAGTAGCAGCACAAGATCAGGGAACAGAAGTGAGACTCCAGAAATGAATTCAGACATTCAGTGACAACTTACAGTCAATAAAGGTGCCAAGACAATTCAATGGGAGAAAGAACAATCTTTTTGATAAATAATGCTGAGACAACTGGATATCCACACAAATGATGCACAGAAATTAACTCAAAATGGTTGATGCACACCAAAGACCTAAGTTTAAGAGCAAGATCATAAAACTCCTAGAAGAAAACATGAATTACATTCATGACTTGGGATTAAACAACCGCTGCTTAACTATGATGTGAAAAGCACAAGTGACAAAATGAATAACAGACATATAGGATATCAAAATTCATAGTTTTTGCGTTTCAGAGAACACTGTAAGAAAATGAAAACACAGAATGGGGGAAAATAATCACAAACCCCGTGAGGGTCTAGTACCCAGAACACACAGAGAGCTCTTACAACTCACAACAGCAGCTCAACCGAAAATGGGCAAAGGATCTCGATGTTTCTCCAAAGAAGATAAACAATGACCAACAAGCACACGGAAAGATGTTCAATATAGGTGATTGGATGGCATCATGACTCAATGGACATAAGTCTAAGCAAACTCCAGGAGCTGGTGACAGACAGGGAGGCCTGGCGTAATGCAGTCCTTGGGGTCACAGAGTTGGGCAAGACTTAGCGGCTGAACAACAAGATGTTCACCATCATTCATCATTAGAAAAATGCAAGTCAAAACCACAATGAGATGCCACTTCACACCCACTAAGATGGCTAAAATTAAAAAGACTGATAACAAGTGTGGCATGAACATGGAGAAATGAGCACCCAGATGCACTGGTGGGGATGTAAATGGTGCAGCTGCTTTGGAAAACATTTCAGCAATTCATCAGTAAAGTTTAACACAGTTACTATACAACCCATCCATTTCATCTCTAGGCATAAACCCAAAGGAATGAAAATATATGCCCATGCAAAAATGTGCACACAAACGGTCATTAACAGTATCTATAATAATCCCAAAGTGAAAACCACCCACATGGCCACGATGAACGGGTAAGCGTGGTCTGTTCACACAGCGGAGCGTCATCTGGACGTAAGAGGACGATGCGCTGACTGCACCAGAGGGGACGGCCTTGAGGACGCTGTGCCACATGGAGGCAGCCACACCCAGGGCTGTGTGGGGCTGTGACTCCAGGCACAGGAAACGTCCCACAGGCAGACCCAGAAGAGAAGGGGAGAAGGCTGGGGGCAGGGAGGGGCTGCACTCGTCCTGGACGTTGAGCAACCCTGAACCACGTCACAAAGCGCACAGGCCGTACAAGACGCCCCCTGGGAGCCAGGCTGCCCGGTTCACCCCAGGTGACCAGGCAGGCGGCCCGTAAGCGCTGGCCAAAGTCCCCGCAGCAGGAACGTCCACGCCTCAGGGACATTTAGATTAGAGTGTGCACCAAGTCCTCGCATTAAACACACTGGATGATGACTGCTGTTACCGCCCCCACCCAGAGAAGAGGAGCTGATGACCACAGGGGACCATGAATGGGGTGGGCCCTAATTCAGGGCGTAGTTAAACTGATTTGCAAACTTCTCGTGCTTCTTCCGGTCCATCTGGTTCATGGCAGTGACCACCCTCTGCACGGCTGCCCTGCGAGGAAGCACAGCGAGATGTGACCAGGGAGGCTGGCCGGGCCCCAGGCCCCCAACTGCAGTCTGGCGGGATTGGGACCTCGGTGCTGGGGTGGCTGCTGCACTCGGGACCGCGTGGGAGCCCCCCGCCCTGGTGCCTGCCTTGGCCCGGCCTGGCCCATCTCCCACTGCTCCTTGAGCCCCAAGGGCGGCCTCCAGAGCCCAATCTTGCCCTTGAGAGCACAATCCCCCAGCAGCCAGGTGGGCAGAGGCAGCAGCCCCCGCCCAGAGCAGACATGCCGCCCGTGTGTGTGTTGCTGCCCCACTCGGCTCCCATTACAGGCGGCACCTGTGCCTGGGAGGCGGCGTGGCCTCTCACAGAGCACGCTGCAGGCCACACAGCTTGCCACAGGAAGCCCCCTTGGGGGGCGCGGGGAGAACGCCCCAGGCTACACTCCTCCCGGCGTCAGCAGCCACCCTGCCCTCCACCCCGGCCAAGCCACAGAGAACCAGCCGTGAGCCCAGAGCCCAGGGTCACGATGCCCTGGACGTAGCCACTCCCATGCCCACAACGCAGGGTCTCCGTGGGGCGCTCAGGAAGCCACCCTCTGCACCCCCCCACACGTGGTGGTCGCTGGGAGCACATCCCCTGGCCAGTGCAGTGAGTTGGAGCACCGTCACAGCGTCCAGCCTGAGGACAGCCCCACCCCGAGACCTGGGTGCTGACCCGGCGGGCGCAGCTGCGCCTTCCCCGGGCACTGGCGGTGGGCAGTGCCTCTGGCCGCCACAGCAGTGGGATGGACAGTGAGGTGCTGGGCAGGCCGCCCCTCCACTTGCGTCCCAGCACACAGGGCAGAGGACGGGACGCTGTGAGGAGCACTTACTTGGCGAACACTTTCTTGGCAATGCGCGCGCGGGCCGTGTCAGCCTGCCGCTTGAGGTCGGTGAGGCCCGGGTGCTTCCGCCGCTTGCCCTTGCCTTTCCCGCCAGGCCTGGATGAGCCCAGATTCACCCCGGTGGCCGCCTCAACGTCCCTCAGGAACTCGGGGTCCTGCCAGTCTGTAGACAGACCCTGAGATTTCAGAAAACACCCACACCAACCTCACCAAGGCCCGAACCCTCTGTGGGGGGGTAAGGAGGGGTGTCCCCATGGAGCCCCTAGGCAGGAAGGCAACTAAATCTGGCGCCCGGGGGACAAGGCCACAGGCAAGTGGCTGCGTCAGCCTCCAGGTGGATTGTGGCCTGCTCGGCCCCCAGCAGGGCCCTTGGCCTGTCCTTTACCAGAGGGTGGGCGTAGGCCAGCCACGGCCAAGGGGGCAGTGCCCACCGCGCCTCCTGTTTGGCCTGAAGCTAACTTGGCTCCAGGCCTGGTGAGGAGGGTGTCAGCTCCCCCAGGCCCCTCAAGACAGCAGGAGCAGGTGGTCCAAAGGGAAACAAACGTCCCCCAGCCCCAGCCTGGCCTCACCTGCCCTGGCTGCACCAGGGGCCATATCCGTGTGCCCGCTTGCCAGGATGGAAAGCGTTAACAATCCAAACCCGGCAGAGGAACTCCCAACAGGCAGGCAGAGGCCTCAAGGTCCACTCCCCTCAATCTGCTTCTCTCCCGGGGGGCGGGGAGGGGCAGGGCTGTGTGGAGGTCCCTGAAATTCAGCGTCTATCCAGCACAGCCCCCGCCAGTGTCCAGACCTACGGACCTTGGCCCCAGCTGGCAGAAGGGTACCAGACACCCCAGGCCCCGATGGTGAGCAGCTGGAGCTGGCGAAGGGGCTGGCAGTGAGCAGGGTGCGTCCAGTGGGGGGGAGCCAGGCGCCCAGATACAGAGATGGCGTGGCCTCCCCAAGTTGATTTCTAAAGTGAAGGGATACGGGGCTGCACAATCCAGATACAGGAACGATTAATCCAAGATTAAGGAAAACTGTCCAAACAGTTTATCTCCCAGTAATGAGAAGGCGTCACAGTTTAGGAACCCAGTGAATGGAGCAATTGTTTAAACACAACGGAAAAACGCCGGCACCCAGTAGAGATGGAATGAGCATCTCAGGAAAATGAAGGAGCAATTTAAAAGCCTTTGAAGAAAATCAATAGGAGCCGGCAGTGGGCCGTCCTGCGTGATGACGGGCCCTGGAGCCCCGCACGCATTGTCACCGAGGTGAGCGCCAGGGAAAAGAAAATTGCCCGTGTGCGAGGGAGGCGGGATCGATACTGCAGTTAGTAAAGAGACGCTATTTCACATCTGACTGGCCAGCGCCGGCCGTGGCCCCGGCCCGGTACCTGTTGTTAACAAGTCACCGAGGGCTGCAGAACCTGATACTCTTCAGGGCTGACACAAAAAATAGGCACTTAATTTGCTCCTGAGTGTGGGCCACCAGGGAAGGCCGTGGCCCATGGATTAGCAGGTCAGGCCCTGCCTGCCGCCCTCCAGGCCCAGGGCCCAGGGGCTGACCCTGCTGTGAGGCTGAAATCCAACACCGATCTCTTGTGACGAAGGAAGGACCTGCTAAAGTGACAGGCGGCCTGGCTAGGACCTGCAGGCCGCCAGCACCGCCCTGAGGACACGGCCACCCTCCGCCTCGAGGGGTTCTGGGCCTGAGTCTGTGGCCTTTGTCAAAAAAGTGGGGGCCTCCAGACCTCAGCCCAGGTTGACAAACCATGGGATACTGACACAGGTCAGGCCTCCACCCCACCCCGAGGGTGCCCGGGGCTGCCCTGGCAGGAGGCCGCTTCTGTGGGTCCACACCCCGCTTGCGGCTCAGGGGCCTCTGGGAGCCAGGCAGCGGCCAGCGTGCGGCCCACGCCAGCACGGAGCACCGGCTCCCTGCAGCACGAGGAGAGCCCTGTGAAGGGCACAGAACAGCATCTCAAGGGCTCCAGTCCCGTGTCCGTTTTGCATGAAACTGGTCTATGGCCCAGAAAACGGGGGCCCCGAGGAGGTACCCAAGAGAGCGCTCCATGCTCAGAGGCCCAGCCTGGGGACTGCCCAGGGCCACGGGCAGGACCCTGGCCTTCTGCTCGCATACCACACACAGTCCACATACGCTGCACACCACACGCACCCACAGCCCCGTGTGTGCATGCTGGCCAGGCAGCAGGTGAGCAAGCAGACGGGAACTGGCAGCCTCCAGGCAGCCCCGGGGCTCAGCCTCTTACTTTCCTCGCCTCGTTCCCTCACATGCTTAAACACAGGCTTAAAAACCCAGAACCCCAACAGAGAGTGACAAGGCAGTTTCCAGCCGTAGGGGAACCCACACCACCCAACAGGAGCTGGGTCCTGGAGACGACAGCTGACCCCCGCAGGTGCCACGGGCTGGGCTGGAGGCTGCTGGGTGAGGGTGTCCTCACGCCAGGCCTGCCCCTCATCCCCCAGACACACCTGGGCGCCCCGCTGGCCTCTGTAGCTGCTGCCTCTGCTCCCGGGCCCTGTCCTCCGCACGGAGGGGCTGGCCCGCGTCGTCTCTTGGGATGATCTTCCCGTGGAAAGGGCACTGCGCGGAGAACGGAGCCGTTCTGATGCAGGCCTGGCTGCCGGCCACCCCAGCGACGGCTCTGAGGGCCAGCCCACACCCCCCGCCCTCCAACACATGCCCCACAAGGCGGGCACCCCAGGTGCAGCGGGACGGAGCCGGGCTGGGAGGGTGCTCTGCGCTCAGTCCGCCTCCATGGACCCCGGGCCCAGCACCACGCAGGTGGGGACGCAGGGACCAAGGTGCAGTGGCCCAGCGCCATGCCCACGGAGGGTCCTGGTGCCAGGAGGCTAGAGCGCAGCCCAGCCTTGCCCCGTCCGCAGCGGACTGCCCGGCCCAGCCCCACCTTCAGGCGGTCTTGGCGCGCACAGAGCTGGCCGTCGGGCCGTGGGGCGCGGCAGCGGTGCTGCACAGGCTCGAACCGCCCCGCGAAGGTGAAGCAGCGGCTCCTCAGGGCCTCGGAGACGGCGGCGCTGTCCACCTCGGCATCCACTTCGCAGGGCTTCCAGAAGCGGTGCTCTGAGTCACACCTGCACACAGACCCACCTCTCAGCGCCCCAGAGCAAGGCCGGGCCTGCAAGTTCACCCAGGGGAAGCGAACATGCCGAGCATGGCAGGGGTATGCCAGGCACAGCCCAGCGGCCTGACACCCCAGTGTGGCCTGGACCTGGTGGGGGGCTCCCTGACGGGCGTTAACAAAACAGAGACCTGCGTCCCCCGCCCCTCAGGTCTGCAGATAAAGTGCGGGCTGGTGCAGTAACGCAGCAGCGTCCAGGAAGCTCCTCGTCAAGCCCCAGGCCCGGCCCACAGGAGCCCAGGCAGAGGACAGAGCGGGTGGTGACAAGGGCCTGGGGCAGAGCTGGGAGCGTGGGCTGAGCTGGGGCTGGGCTGAGGCCCTCACACTGTCCTGATGCTCCACCATCAGGGCGGTGACAGGGCAGGCCCCTCAGGGGGCCACAGGGCCTCTGGGAAGGGCCGGACCAAAGCCCAGCCCTGGGGCTTCAAGAGCCCATGGGCTTCGGTGGGCAGCCGCCAAGAGCTGTGTCCACTGCGCACAGGGGGCGCGGGGCCCTCACTCACTTGAGGACCTTGCCGGCCGCCGGCTCCTCCTGGCCCCAGTAGCACAGGTCCACCCCGAAGGGGACAACAGGCGCTCGGGCCTGCTCTGCCGCCCGCCGCGCGGCCTGATCGGGTGCTAGCAGAGCCCTGGAGAGCAAGGAGGGCTCAGGGGCAGGGAGCCTGGGGCCGCCTTCGGCCACCCGCCTCTCCTGCCCCCCAGGCCCCAGGGACGCCCCTGGGCCCTGGGCCCTGACCCCTGCACCTCGGGCCTGGGCCAGGGGAGCCGGCCTCACACCGCGCTCCTCATGCAGGGCTCAAGTGCCCTGACCTCTGTCCCTCTGGTCCCAGAGCCTTGGGCCTTTCCTTGGGGCGGCCCTGGCCTGCATGCCAGCAGGGAGGACTTGGGGCCCCAGGTCCCCACCCCAGGACGGACGAGGCAGGCACTGCCCGGGGGGTGTGCACACAGGGCTGCCTGGGCGTCACCTGGGGCTCGGGGGCGAGGCTGGGGGCCCGTGGGGCTGGAGCCGATGCTGCTGGGCGGCCGCAGAGGTGGGGTCGCAGGCATCCATGTCTGTCCCAAGCTTCTTCCTCGCCTGCGAGTCTGGTGCAGCCAGACCTTCCTCCAGCCCTGAAACAGACATGTCTACTCTCGGTCACCACCCCCGTGACCCTGCATAGACCCCCCGGTGACAGCACAGCCCGTGTGAGCATCTGCCCGGCCAGTCCGGGCCCCACAGCTGGCCTCTCCCTGCCGAGGCCGCCGGACAGTGATCTCTGCGGGCCAGACGTCTGCACCGAGTGCCCAGAGCGACGGGGGCTGTGTCTCTGACACCCTTGGACCGCATTCACCAGGCCCCCTGCCCCACTGGTGCCAGTGCCCGGGCTGTCCCTGACCCCTGCCAGCCCTGCCCAGCTGGGCACGGGGCCAGCGTCCCGGGAGGCAGGGGGTGGAGCCATCAGGACCCAGAGGTGCTCCACCCCGAGGGCCTCGCCCTCTCTGAGCTCTCCTCCGCATGGCAGGAAAGACAGCGAACAAAGCACCCAGGAGACGAGAACTGAAGAGGCGCTAGAAAAGGCAGGAGAAGACAAAGAGGGGACGCAAGCAGCCTGGGGAGGACAGCCCCGGCGGGGATGCGCAATGCAGGTGGCCATGCACACGCATGGTCAGCTCTCTGCACACGGAGGAGTGACATGTATCCATGTCCTTGTCACCTGCCCCCAGAAAGAGAGGAAATGACTGGAGCAGGGGAAACAGAGTCCAGGTTTCCTGGAATCAGGGGAAGACAGAGGGGTTTCCTGAGGGTAAGAAGGAGACAGAGGAAGAACAGGCAAGTCACTCAGAAGGGCATTTAGAAACATCAGAGGGGAAGAAAAAGGTCTGAGCAGCTTTCCTCCCAAAGCCGTGACCATCCACGGGCACCACAAGCAATTGAGTATGAGGTCTGGGGGATGATGTTCAAACTTAAAGAGTTTTTCACCCAGCTCCACTAGGTGTCAAGGTTGTGGCTTCTATAGCAGATACCTTGGACCTCCCATCCAAGAAACCCTTCCCACGACACAGAGAAAACTGACAGGATGGCCAGGCGGGCAGCTCCAGGGGCCAGAGGCCCCAGAGGAGCAGAGCTACAAGGACACCGACAGGGTACAGCCCACCACGCCCTGCACCTGGCCTCCTGACGGCACCTCCGTCCTTCCATCTTTGTGCAAGGACTCACTCAGAGAGAAGCGAGAGAGGAAACAGGCTGTGCAGACACAGCCTGGTGTCTGCACGCGCCTCCCTGTATACACAGAGCCTGGTGTCTGCACGCGGCCTCCCTGTATACACAGAGCCTGGTGTCTGCACATGGCCTCCCTGTATATACAGAGCCTGGTGTCTGCATGCGGCCTCCCTGTAGGCACAGAGCTTCACATCCGCCCATGTGCTGTCTGGTGCTTTTGCAGAAACCTCACGATGCCCAAAAATCTGAAAACGTGTCCTCCAAGCCCCTCATGAGACTCGCCTGCCCTCCCTGCTCCAGATGCCCTCCAAGCTCATGCACAGACTGAGTGTGGGGTTCACCCCTGCTTCTCGAGTGCTCGTGGCTGAGAGTGGAGGACCTGGGGCAGAGCCACTCATCAGTACGGCAGGTCCGTATGGGTCACCCACAGCCCCCAGCTCTAAGCACACTCAGAAGGCAGGTGGGGACCAGGCTCTGTCACTAGCATACCCCAGGTCCAGGGATGAGGCCTTCCAGACGCCCCCCCACCCGAGATCTTGGCAACGCAGCGCTCCCAGCCCATGCACACGCGTGGCCACACGCACGTGGGTAGGCAGGCTGATAAGTGGCCGCAGTGGCACTTACGAAGGTGGATACAATCACTGCCCAACAATCGATACAAGAATTCCTAAGAGTTACAAGAATGAAATATATGTTTCATTGATTTGTTGGTTTAAACCATTAAAAAGATGGGTAAGCGTGTTGAAGCAGGGTAAACAGGGCACTGAGAAAACACTACCATTCTCACACTGTTGTAGAAAACCAATCTCCATGACACTTTCAAGCGAGAATCCAAAAAGCAGGGGAGTCCGCGGCCCCGGAAATGGTGCTGTTGGGGAGAACACCGATGGGAGCCCAGCAGCCATGGGCCCCACCTGCCAACCGGGGCACCGGACCCAGGCCCGGACCTCAGCTCAAATTCACTCCCGCAGCGGCTCTAAGAAGAATCACAAAAACGTCTAAATCCCCTTTTTGTTTAAAGTGACCAAGTGGCACCTATTTGCGCTGCGGCAGGCGGGGCAGCGGGATCGATGGCAGGAAACGGGAGGCGGGGGCTGAGCGTGGAGCTGGGCTCAAGCCTGACACTATTGATTTTACCTAGTTCAGCTGGCCTTGTAATTAAAATGTAAATTTGAGAAAGAGATTACGTCCTGACAGAAATGGTAGGATTAAGGAGAAGATAAAAGCCCCTCAATGAAAATTCAGAGAAAGAAATGAGAAAGAAACGGGTGCCGTCTCCCCAGCTGCGGGTTTAGACGAATCTACTGCAGAGTCATCGCCTTTAATTGAAAACCAGTGACGAAGATCAACTGGCATTATGAACTGGCGCCCAGCACTTCCTGCGCTGTCCCGCAGCGCTGGGGTCCATGGTGCAGACCTGGCCCCAGACCCCTTGAGGAGCAAGGGGTCTCTCACCGCCCGCTATCAGAGGCCTGTCCTGGGGCACAGCGGCCCCTCCTGCAGGGGGGCCCGGCCCACAAACGCCCAGGGAGCAGCTCGGCTCCACTCTGTGCGCCCAGCCACCATGCGGACAAGCGGTGGGCTGGCAGCACCCGGGGGTGGTCACCTACACTGGTGCCTGGAGACCGAGTGCCCCCTCAAGGGGGGCAGCCAGGGCAGACAAGGAGACGGGCTGGGCCCCTCAGGGCTCCAGCACCCACCCGTACTGCCTTGAGGGCGTGGGACGAGACCTGGGGGAGGCAGGCCCAAAGCAGGCACCTGGAGGTGCGTGGCAGAAGGCCTGGCCCTAGGAGCGGCCCAGGGTTCAGAGGAGACCCGCACTGGGACGGCGTGGCCAGCGAGGTCAGCGTGAGGGTGAGGTGGGGGCTAGAGGGCTGTGGTAGGCAGTGGCTGCACCCTCGGGCGCCCAGGGAGGGCCTCGAACACCAGGGTGGCGAAGACACCCTGGTCACGTCCACACTCCAACTGCCTGAGCACCTAACTCCTGGACAAACTCACTCTCCTCTCACACGCCACCTCAAACCTCGAGTCAACTACTCGCTCACTTCCCACACAAGCCACATGTGGCGCCGGCTTCACTCGCTCCCTCTGGACACAAGGTGCCCCGGTGCACACGCGGCTCCTGAAAGTTTTTCGAAGAGAAGTCCCCTGGCAAAGGCAGGGGGCAGCGGTGCCTTCCCGAGGGGCCCTGGGGCTCCTGGACCAGAGGCCGAGCCCGTGACCCCACCGACGGGACCAGGACTCGGGATGGCCCAGGTCAGCAGGAGCCTGGCGGGGCAGCAGAGACCCCAGGACCACGTGGCATGGACTGGGCACCCCCGCGGCTGGCCCCTGCTCCGCGGGCCCAGGCTGGACCCAGGTCTGCCCTCAGGGACCACGTCCTGAGGGCCCCCCTCCTGGCCCACGCTGATGCTCACCGCACTCAGGCCGCAGGTGCTCGGGGACACAGGCCTCGTAGCCCTCCTTCTCCGGGACCTCCAGGAAGTCATCCTCGTCCTCATCCTCGTCCTCGGGGCCTGCTGTCTGTGGAAACACCGCGAGCTGTGAGTGACGGCCGCAGGCAGAGTCCCAGCCACGCTTCTGTGGACCGCCTCCAGGTCGGGATCAGCGCTCACCACTCGGCTGCACTCATGGTCCGCCTGCGTCCCTAAACCATAGCGGCCCACGTGCGCTCCACTGAGACCCACAGATAGGCACGCTGCAGCCCACAGAGCTCCATGGGCCCGCGGTCCCAGCCCTCCACCCAGCTCTGGCCAGACCAGAAGCACCGCCCTCGGCATCCAGCACTGTGGCTGTGACTACGGCACTTCCGGAACGTTTCATCCTCGAGAGTGGCTTGTTAAAAAGCCACCGAAGAGGATGTCTCCCCTGGACAGGGCGGCCCTCCCTGTCGCTCTGTGAGCCTGGAGCCCCCACCCGCCCCATGAACCCAGGGCCCCGACATCCACTCCCCCTCTGCCCCCACCCTGGCGGCACCCAGCCAGGGGGGAGCAGCAGGGACCCGGAGCATGGGGGGCTTACTGCAGGGGCCAGGGGCGCCTCCAGAAAACAGCTTGGCGGCTGCCTCGCATTCACGCCACGTGCTGGGGCCACACGCAGCCTGGGTCGGGGTCAGCAGCCCGAGCCGCTCAGGCCCAGAAAGCCCTCTCTCCTCACATTCTCAACCCCTGCACCCCTGGGACGGGGTGTGGGGGCCCGTCCTTCCCAAGAGGGTCACAGCACGGATGTACCTGGGAGCTGGGTCGCATGGCCAGCACCACCCGGAAACACCCCGGAGTCTGAGGAGCTGCAGCCCCAGGCCCGACTGCGAGAAACGTTCAGAGGGGAGACTGCGGCTGGGCTGATGCTCGCGTGGGCTTCAGACTGTCACCCTCCCCGCCAGGGTCCATCCCGACAGCCAGGCCCTGCAGCACGCGGCTGCCCAGGGCGGGCAGACGAGGACCGGCCCGCAGACCCCAGGGCAGGCAGCCGGCCAGGCCACAGGCACCCAGAACCCAGAGGCTGAGGAGCGGCTGGGAGGCCTAATCAGATGCAAATGCTCTCAGCTTGGGCGCAAGCCGCAGCGCGCGTCTGGGAGGCACCGAGACATTAATCATTGGAAACTGTAATTTTTGTTATCAGTCTAACACTGATCAAAAGGGAAGCCTGTCTCCACCGCTGACCTGTGAAACGTCCCAATTATACTCTTTGGAAATGACAGGGGCACTTAACTCCAGAGCCGAGCAAATGACGACGATCAATCACGTTTGAATAACAATGAGCCGCGGACCTGAAAATTATTTTTGTATAGAATCTACCCAGGAATTTATGAAAGGTGGAAAGCAGCCCAAGGTTTTCGGGCATTACAGTCCCGGCTAGTGCCGTGCGTATCAAACACTAAACAGAATTTATGTGTTTTAATTTTCCAAAAGGTAGATGTGGACTGGGTGCTACAATGCATAACACACCGTGCCAGACTTTAAATATGGAGCTCATTTTCATAAAATATTATGCTTATTGCTCACACCCTTGAATTTCACCTGGGACTTTTATTAAATTTTCATTTCCTAAAAAATATTTGGCTGCTTAGCTAACTATTAGGAATTATACCCTCTCCCCCCAGGTAAAACTGTATCCCTCTGACTAACCCCGGGAGCCGGCTCCCGGGCCTGGATGCGCGCTGACAAGGCCCGCAGGCCGGCCTCCTCGGGCCCCAGACCCTAGCGCACAGCTCTGCACGGGCAGTGTCAGCGTCCTCCCCAAGAGCTACTGCAGCCGTCCCTGCCACACTCTCGTCCCAAACCTCTCGGAGGCTGGGGTGACCCTCAAACCAGGCCCCCAGGGAAGCAGGGGCTCTACTGTTGCTCTGAACTCGGGCTTGAACAGCTCCACTTGCAGGAAGGTCTACTTCTCCATGCTGTGCGGGGCTCAGAGGTGCTGAGCACCCTGAGGCCCTCCCACATCCAGCCTGGGGGCACCCCATCCCTGGAGGGCAGCGGAAGGGAACCCCCCACCACCTAAGCCGGGCAGTCCTCTCCCGGCCTTGGAGGAACACTCGGCTGGGGACACCCAGGCCCACAGAAAACATCTACCTGCACTTGAGGGGCAACCCAGCACTCCCAGGCGCCACAGTAGCAACCTCCTCTCGAGGTTAAAGGGCACAGATCAGGTCAGAAGCCCCAGCGGGCATGGGTGGGAGGCGGCTGGGGGCAGAGCAGGGGCACAGAGGGCCGAGGGGCACCACGGCCTGCGGGCACCGGGTGAGGGCAGGGTCAGACGGTCCGCAAGAGCAGTTCACTGGGAGCTGAGCTTCCCCGTCAGGAAGAGAGGCCACCAGACACGCTTGAGAAAGCGGCCTGCCCTCGCCCAGGGGCCCAGAGGGAAACCTCCCTGCTAGGTCCAGTCCTGGGCCTGCCTGGGAGGCTGGGCAGGCAGGCCAGGCCCTGCGGCTGATGCGTAGGTCCCGGGACTGAACCCTCAGGGCCCCAGGGAGGCAGAGAATGCCCCAGGCCTTCCTCTCAGTCCACACAAATTGATTCTCACCCAGTTAAAAGGATTTAGAAAAATGAGGCTCTAAGATCATAATTAAACAAGCAATAAAATGGCTAAAATATACAATGTAATCCGATTACAGAAGTAGGATAGCGAGTTGCTAATTACTCGAGAAGGATGGGAAGGGCCACCTCCCAGACCTACCCGCCCAAGGCCTGCCCGCGATAGAGCTGGACCATTAAACACATTCTGTGTGATCTAATTAACTTGGGGCACCATCGCCATTACTTTTCACCCAAGAAATCACTTTTGTTCAGTTTTATGTGTGTATGTTTCCCTTTTTTAAAAAAAAATGATGTAAGGCCCCGTCAGACAAGTGAGCGCCAAGCTGCATCTGTCTCCTCAGCTTGATGGCAACGCACTTAAAACCCCATTCTATCTTATAAACCAAAAATTAACCGTGCTCAGCTGTGAGGGTCGTCATCACAGCTGCTATTTATATGCTAATGCCCTCCCTGGACCGCGTGCAAATTGCCCAGCCAGGCCAATATCTCATGTGCATCTCTGCTGCCTGGACATACCTTGGCAGGTGTGGGCCTGCTGCGAGCGGGTGCTGACCATCACAGTCCTCAAGCGGGTGCGGGGCGCTGCTGCCCTCCTGCACGGAGGGGCCTGGAGCCGCCAGCCCCTTTCTCACCTGTTCCTGCCGCTCCAACACCAAGGCCAGCCGGCCCGGGGTGTGCGAGGCCGCCACCGCCCCTTCAGGTCCACCAGGCGCCCGGCCACCATTTCCAGGCGGAGGTTGGGCAGCCCCTCCTCCCGGGACCCTGCCTGGGGCCTGATGTGGGCTGGCTGGCCTCGCCCAGCCCGGCCTCTGGGCAAGATCACATACTCACCATGCACCCTGGCCTCAGCGAGAAGACCCATGCAACTCCCCCAGACCCAGCCTTCCCATCTGTAAAACAGGGGTAAGAATGGAATTGACCTCATAGGGCTGAGTCTGGAATTAAGAAGACCACACGTACAAGTATTCAGGAAAGAGCAGCCACCCTGGAGGGTGCTGGGGAGCTGGACTGTAGGGCAGGGAGGGCCCAGGGCCTGTGGGGGTGGGAAGCTGCCCCGACAGCAGCCAACGTGCTCCCAGTCCTCACGAGAGCAGAGCAGCCCCTGCCCCGGCTGCTGCCCCTCCCCAGTGGCCTTCGGTGCGAGCGTGATGGAAGGAGCAGTCCCCAGGAAGGTTTACTGGCCTTGCCGGGCACAAGGCCCTGCCGGCAGCTGATTCAGCTCCCTGCCTCCCTGGGGCCACGGCACGGTCAGCACTTCACCCCCAGGCTCTCCGCTCAGGAAGCCGGCATGTGGCTCCTGAAGCAGAGAGCGGCATCCAGCCCAGCACAGCAGCGAGAGCACCCACCCAGCCACTAAGAGGAGAAGCCGTCACCCAGAGTCATGCAGGATCTGCGCCCTTGCAATGAGTGGGAGCGTGTGGGGGTTAAACCCGGGGCTGCCGGCAATGGGAGAAGGGGAGCGTCATGGGGGTGCTCCAGCGGCTGCAGCGAGCAGCCTGGGGCCAAGAGAACACCCGCTCTGCGGACAGCCTGATGCATACAATCATTATTTTCTGACTTACTGGGGGGGGGGGGGAGATTAATATTTTGTGACTCACACAATACAAAGTAAGTGGTGATCATCGCTACATAATTAAACAGCAAGCAATTTAAAAGTTTTCCAAGGATTTTTATCAGTGTAACAGATGTAGCAGCTACGGATTATTAGGCCTGTCCTCCAGCAACAGGGCTGGAAACTAAATCTACCAAATGATGCTCCATATCGACCTAGCTAAGACCAATCTCTGCCTGCTTCCACATGGAGCTGGGACAGACATGCCGTAAGACAAAAAAGTTACATAAAACAAAAGTTACACATATTTAAGCTGGCTTAAATACTCTTTAAAGACAGAACACCTACATCAAAAGGAAAAGAACACGGCAACACAGACTAAAATGGGAAATATGACCAGAGGCCCCAGTCAGGCGGCGCCTACACGGTGGGAGGAGCAGGACCTCAGATCTGCCCGTCTCCCATGGTGTTAGTCCCAAGTACTGAACCACACGCTCCCAGCTCAGCCTGCACTAGCAGAGACACCAGGCAGAGACTGAAACTGCAGACGTGTCACAAGAAGACGACCAAGCAAAGACACTGGTCTGTGCGGTGTCACCGCGGCTGCGCGGAGCTGCACAGATGCCGCCGCGGGGCTGTTCTGGGAGGCAGGCTGCCCGAGCAGGCGCTGCCACTCAGCCGCATGCCCAATCACTCCATCTGCAGGCCCGCGGCCCAGAGAAGATGAGCACATGCTCATGGGCTTCAAGCCTCTAAGTCGGCTCTTAGAGAAGACGACAGGGCAGCCTGGCTTCCTCCTGCTGAAGCCACCACGTTGACCCCACGCCCCCCGACCCAACCAGACCACCCGGAACACCCCTCATGTCCTCAGCCCCCTCCCTGCAGAGGGCCCCCTCTGACCTGACCACGCGCCTCCCAGGCTCTGGGGCTGCCCGGCTGCAGACAGTGACCCGCTGATGCTCAAACTGGACGGGGCCCAGGGGCCACTCAGGGCTGGCCCCCAGCAGCCCTCGAGGGAGCCGAGTCAGGACGCCCGGAAGGCTCTGCTGCTGGTCCTGGGCCGTAAGGAGCAGGCAGGGCTGCCAGGCCCCCCCGTATGGGTCTCCCCAAAGCCCTGGCTGCCTCCAGCCCAGCAAACCTGAGAGACACCGGGGCGGGCCACCCAGCCCCACCAACACAGCAACCGAGAGATGACCTTTGCGTAAGGTGGGCCGGGCTGAGCCGGCTGTGAGGGGGCGCACAGCGCTGACCCCTGACCCCCACAGCACATGCTGCTCTCAGGCCAGGCCCTCCGCCCCGACACCGCACCCAGGCTCTGCTGAGGCTCAGAAACAGGGACCTGCGCACAGGACCAACTGCCCTCCCTTGCCCAGAAAGCACCCTCTCTCACTGTCAAACAAGCATCGAGGTCACAACTCCCAGAACTGGCTGACCTCTCACTGAGCTGTGTGCTCAGCAAAGCCCTGCAAAGAGGAGGCCTCGGGAGCAGGGCCAGGCTGCCAGCGCGTGACCGTGTCCACCAGCCCGCCGCAGAAGGGTGAGCGCGCCCCCTGCCGGCCCCCGAGGGCCGCGCAGCGCAACGGGCGGCGGTGGGGGGGTGGGGTGCGGAGGGCGGCCTCAGAGCGCCCCCTGCCGGCCCCCGAGGGCCGTACAGCGCGGGGCAGGGGGCGGAGGGCGGCCTGAGCTCAGAGACCCTCGCGACCCACGCCTCGGGCCCAGGGGCAAGGACAAGGGTGCGCCAGGCTCAGGGCGCTAACCACTCTCCACTCTAAGTATGGGGGCCTACACCTGACTTCGTCCTCAGCAAAGAAAGGTGCCTGCCCACCCCGGGCCCTCTCGAAAAACTGGAGGGGCTGGGACCCGTCACCCGACACCCACACCCACCCTGTCTCCTCCAGGTGGCAGAGCGTGACTCAGCGGGGTTCGGCTCCGCACACCTCGTGCTTAGGAAACTCTGCTGCTTATTGTTGCAGCAGTTCTGACCACAGCTTATGTGTTCTAATCACTAACATGGTCCAGCTGTGGTTCGCCACACCCACCACACACCCCCACCCTCTCTAGCTCTAATTCCACATCCTACACACACACACCCTGCAGCTATGATTTCACACACCCGACACAGACACCCTGTAGCTGTGGATCCCCCAACCCTGCGCATACCCCCTGCAGCTACGGCCGGTCCCAGTGCCCACGTACACCCTCCAGGTGCTCTACCCCTCCCCAGAATATTCTTGGAGGACCCAGGTCCCTCTTTCTACAGGTATCTTCCAGATGTGAAGTTTCAGGCCCTGGCAGGCCACCAAGCCCACAGGATGGGTCCCAATGGGCACTTCAGGAGCCGCCTCCCCTGCTCCCCTCCTGGGCCTCTCACTAGAGCCCCAGCCCTCCACCCAGCGCCCCAGTCCACCTCCGCCACCTCCTGCCCAAACCCTGGCCCAGCCCCTCCACCTGCGGGGAGGGCCTGGCCATGGTCTCTGATGCTCAGATGAGTCAGCTCCTGGTGAGGATACACGAGGACACCCAGGGGCTGAGCTCCCATCAGGGGGATGGCCCCAGGCTATCCTCACAGCCAGTTGGGGGCACTCACCTCGCCCCTGCGGCCCTCCTCAGGTGCGATGTCCAGCTCCCGGGACCTCTTCAAGGCGGTTTCCAGCTCGGCCTTCAGGTGGATGGCGCCCTCCAAGTGCCCGCCATGTGTCCCCGCACGAGTGAACAGCTGCAAGGACGGCATCACTTCCTAGGCCAGGTACCCGCTCTCCCCCCCCGAGTCAGCCCTGCGCCCTCTGTCAACCCATGCAGGCCATCTGGACCCAGGGCCTGTCCAGACTGAGGAGCACGCCCAGGCCAGGGGCCCTCCCTGACCCAGAACATCTAGACCCAGGAGAATACCCGGACCCAGGGGCCTGCCCTGACCCAGGAGAACACCCGGATCCACGGGGCCGCCCTGACGCAGGAGAACACCCGGACCCACGGGCCCGCCCTGACCCAGGAGAACACCCAGACCCAGGGGCCTGCCCTGACCCAGGGGAACACCCGGACTCAGAGGCCCGCCCTGACCTAAAACATCTAGACCCAGAACACCCAGACCCATGGGCCTGCCCTGACCCAGGAGAACACGCAGACCCAGGGGCCCGCCCTGACCCAGGAGAACACCCGGACCCAGGGACCCGCCCCCCAGGAGAACACCCAGACCCAGGGGCCTGCCCTTACCCAGGAGAACACCCAGACCCAGGGACCCGCCCCCCAGGAGAACACCCAGACCCAGGGGCCTGCCCTGACCCAGGCGAACACCCGGACCCAGGAACCCACCTGGACCCAGGAACATGTGGCCGGCAGGAGCTTGTTCTGGATGAGCCTGAGCGCATCCTGCGCCGCACGGATGACAGCCGAGTTGTCCTCGTTCTCACACACCCTCAGGCTGTCTGCAGCAAATGCAGTCATCGGAGGGCCCACCACCCAGGCAGGTCATTGGGTATCCCAGACTGGACCACCCGCCAGCCACTCATCACCCGGCACCCAAACCTGCCAGCCCAGGAGACTGTCTTGCGGCTCTGGCCACAGCGGATCTAACCTAACCCCAAGGCCCCTCTCCAGGCTGTGAAGTCAGGGGACCAATCCCCCCCCCCCGCCACGCCCACACTGCCCTCAGGATGGAGGCCCCACCCGGCCCTCGGCGCAGGGTCCTCCCTGTGAGCTCCGCCACCCCAGCAAGCCTCAGCCGACACCCCCTTCAGCACAACCCCTGCGTCCAGGCCTTGACGCCTGCTTGCAGGGAACAAGGTGCCCAGTGGGCCAGGTCTTCCTGTGGCCGCGGAGGCCAAGTGACCTCCAGCCTCAGCCTCATCCCTACGGAGGGGCCCGGGCCATGTGGGGCGGGAAGACAGTCAGCGCCTCTCACCCACGGGGGCTGGAGCGCAGGAGCCCCATGGTGCCAGTGTGGTCACGGCCCGTGCTGTCACAAACGTGGCAGAAAACTGTATCTCTCAATTCCTCCCCCAGCCGCCCTCTGGCCTGAGCAGGGGAGCCCTGCATGTCAGAGGGTTGGCGCCCCGCGGCCCCCACGCCGGAGTCCCCTCCCGCGCCCACCTCGCAGCCCAAGAGGCCCAAGCATCACAAGCGCCCCGGGCCCGTGGCCCCGGTGGCCCGGTGTGCGGGCAGCCCTACCTGAGGAAAGGTCCACGGCCAGCGTGTACTGGCGGGAGCCCAGCCCGTGCTGCCGCACGAACCCGTCCAGGTCGCCGTCCTCGTCCTCCAGGGGCGGCCCTCCCGTGCCCACGGCTCCTGGGTGGCGTGTGCAGGCGGGCAGGCTCTTGCTGCAGCAGGGCTGCTCCTCGTCCCTGTCGCCCTCCTCGGGCACGGGGCACCCGGCGGCCCCAGGGCCCAGGTTGAGGTCAAAGGGCAGCAGCAGTTGGAAGCAGCTCTCTAGCTCGGTGAGGCAGCCCCGGATCTCCGTGGACATCTCTAGGAGGACGGGAAGCGGCTTGCTCAGCCCCAGCAGGAGTGGCGTCCAGGAGGGGACACAGCGCGCCCCGCCCCCTCCTCCACAAGCAGGTGGGTGCCCTGCTCTGGAGACCACTCCGGGACATTCGGGGCGACACCCTCAGCCGTGCCCAGCAAGAGCCTCCCTGGACAGCACTCCCGGCTGCTCCCTGTCGACCTCAGCTCCGCCCCACCAGCCCACTCTGGCTGGGGCTGCCCGTGGGATTCCCCGGCTCTGTGGCCTTCCTGAGGCCAGGCTTCTGGAAGGGTCTCTGACCCCCGCCCTTCAGGGTGCCCCCGGCCCTGGCTGCCCCCCACAGGGAGGGCTGGCACAGGGATCTGGGGAGATGGGCACGGCCACAAGTGGTGGCCGTCGGGGTCACGTGGACGGCGGCGCTCAGGCCACGTGGGACGCGGGCCTGCAGCGTGGCCATCGGGGCTGCAGGAGAGGGTAGATGGCCTACAGCGGGCCTCCCCCGCCCTCGGCGTGAACCAGCTCCGTCCAGTCTGCCTGCCCACCTGCCCCCAACCCCCCAGTGAGCCGCAGCCGGCACCTCCTCCAGTGCGACCCCTGTGCCCATGGTCCTGGCAGTTCCCTGCAGGGCGCCAGGTGCCCGGGGATCTAGGTCTTCCTGTGGCTATGAGGTCAGCTGACCTCCAGCCTCATCCTCCCCCCACCCCAAACTCCCAGAGCAGGCCCTGGGACAGGGGTGCACCGCTGGGCATGGACCTGAGCTCCGCCTGGCAAGGAGCAGCAGGAGGGGAGGGGAGTGGCACCCCCATTCCCCATAGCTCACCTTCCATCTCTCTCGCTGCCCACTCAGACCTTTCCTTGTAGATTCTGTCCAAGCGCTTCTGTTTCTCTTCTGCTCGCTTTCTTTCTGCCAGAGTGCGAGCATCCACGTCTTGGAAATCTACCTGATAAGTTTAGCTAAAGGTCAGACCCAGCTACAAAGAATCCAACAAAAACGTCACTTGCAACCAGGCCTAACAGAAGACACAGCAGCACCACTATCCTCAGAAGCACTACGGGCGGAAGTGTTATGATCTCAAGTTCACACCTGCTGCTTTAACACGCCAAGTAATACACTCGATGGCGACACTACACCCCCAGGATGAACACAGCTATTGGCGTCTCCTGGTAAAGTCACACACATGCTGCAGGTGGGAAGGGAGGCTGCTGGCCAGACCCAGGGGCCTGAGAACAAAGCACGAGGGGATCCCAGGGGGCAGCGGGAAGGGCAGCAGCCACAGGCCTGGAGCGGGTGGGAAGGCGGGGGCACTACCGGTCCTAGCAGGAGTCATCCACCCAGACTGGCCAGGCCAAAGCGCAGAGCCCGGCAGAGAAAAGGCTGTGTCTGAGCAGATGACTCTCACGCTCCTTTTCATCTTGTGGAAACCAGGGCCAAAGGCTCAGCCCCACATACACACGGGGCCGAGCTGAGGCTCTTCCCTCACAGCTGCTCCTCCGGCTCCAGACCACCCCCACCCCCGCCCAGACCCCATGGGCCGGGCGGTGCAGTGCAGGGCTTGCCCACCTGTTTGCTGTGCTTTAGGAAGTGGAAGCCTAGGGCCAGCTTCTTATAGGCTGTGCCGTACTTCTCGTTCCAGCCACGGACGGCCCGGGTGGCCGCCTGCCTCAGTCTCTGTGCCACCTCCCTGGGGGGTGGCAGGGGCCGCTCATGGTCGGTGCCCAGCGTGAGCTCCAAGAACTCCTGGAAGTTGGAAACGACCAGCGTCCTGAACTGGTGAGACCTGGCAAAGAGCTGGTCCAGGACCTGAAAGGCGGAGAGGCGGATCTCCGCGTGCTCCTGGCTCAGCTGGGCCATCAGCAGGTGGTAGGCGTGGCCAAGCTGCTCCTCTGAAGACCTGGAGACACAGCCACGGTGGCAGGTACACGGGCACTTCCAGAGCCATCTGCCCTTCCCCCGGGGCAGACGAGCACCGCGCACATGCCAAACCTGGCCCCTGCCTGTTGCTGGATGGCCCACAAGCCAAAGTTTTTACTACCTTCATTAAGAGGAATAGAAAAAAAACATTTCCTGACATGTGAAAACCCTGTGAGACTGTGTCAGTGCCCACGCTTTCACTGAGACCCAGCCAGGCGCTTTCGTTCATTCGGCCGGCTGACTGCCCATCCACAGCCGAGTGCCCACAGGGCCTGAAGAACTCTCGGCCTGCCCAGCTAGCAGAGGTGCAGAGACCCCACCCCAAGGGGAGACCACCCCCGCCCCCCAGCCCTCCTGGAAAGCTCTGTGGCCTTCTGGGAGCCACCCTGGGAGGTGTACACACAGCAACCCCTCTTTTGTTCCTCTTCCCAGCTATCCTCACCTTCCCCACCCCGCATGCCCTGCTCTTTGGGGGTTTTCGGGGAATGCAGCAAAACCTGACCTGAGTCACCATTTTACCAAAATGTCAATTCTTATTACTTAAATGATCACTTAAGACCTGTTCTGTAAACACATGATAAGAATAACCAATAAATATCCTCGCTTCTGTTGCTAGCACCTGAGAAGCTCTTGGCTAAGAAGAATGGTGTCCAAAGACAGACAGGACCTCCCCCCCGCAACACAAGAGTTCACCTCTATGATCTCTAACCTTCCTCCCACACATGTTCCAACACTAAGTAACCCTTAAGTCATACATGTGCGCTCAAAGATAGGCACCCACACAGAGAATGGAACAAACCTGTTCTCCCTAACGCTGCACACCCCTGCCTGGAACTGCTGCCCCAGAACAGGACCAAGCCCTGCAGGGCCCTGGGGAGATGTCCTGGGGATGCTCGTTTGCCAGTTCTTTCCCAGCAGAGAATTGATCACAGGGACAGGCAGCGGACAGCTGACCCCAGGGTAGCCCCACAATCTCCTAGGCTTGTCACAGGCTTGCTGAGACATTGAGCCTTAAGACATACTTGCAAATTTTCTTCAGTTCCTTCATTTTCTCGGGGTTCACTTGGGGCTCTCCTGAAGTTGTGAGCTCTTCTACCAACTCTGAAAGTTTCTGATCCATATCTAGAAACAGGAAACGCAGAGACGCTAAACGACCACCTAGTATTTCACAGCTCTGGGCTCTGTTAGATGTTCGCTGGGTTCCACTATGTGTTGGGCACAGGGTGTAGGCACAACGCTGAGAAGTCCTTGCGATCTGACCTCTGACCCCCTGATGCTGAAACTTAACAATTCAAGGTGAGATTCCGGGCCGGGTCAACAAGACATTTTTGATGGTAATTAGGAAAAGGGCAACAACAGACCCGTGCTCTGGAAGTCTACAATCTGAGACCGCCAGCGAGAGCACGGAGCACGCAGTCACGCTCGGCGGGAAGGCAAGGACCAGAACAGCCTGAATTACACTCAAGCTAGCTTTCCCGCAGGACAGCAGGCGCACCTCTTCCTTCGCCAGCTTGACCATCCCTCCGAAAGCCACAGGGTGGCCTCTAGACCCGCAGGGCGAGTTGCTGCAACTCGATCTGCCCGCGGACAGCCGCCACAGGCGAGTATGGAGAAGGCCGAGGGGCCCGCGCCGCAGGGAGATGACCGGGGCCGCAGGAGTCGCGGGTGGCGAGGACGACAGGCGGTCCGCCGCGTCTCCCACCAACAGTAACGTCTGATGTTGCCGATGCTCGGCCGCCGGGACAGGCCCGCCCTCCAGAGCAGAGCTCCAGCGCCCCGCCGCCCTCGGGCCAGTCGGGGCCAACGAGCCCCCGTCCTAAAGTCCGGGGCGCGGCCGGACCGAAGAGGGTGGCGTCCAGAGAAAGGCGCGGCGGGGGCATCATGGGGCGGGGGACGAAGGAGGCGCCCCCGAGAAATGGCTGCGCTCCGACCCCGGCCCGCCCGGCCGCCCCTCAGCCCCACCTACCGCGCTACCGGCCGCTCGCCTCAGCCCGCCCTTCCGGCGAAGGGCCCGCCCCCATCACGTGCCCCAGATCTCGACAGTCATTGGCCCGCCCTGGCCCGGGCAGCGCGGGGGCGAAGGTCAGACCGGCCGAAGCCCCGTCTAGCCCGCTTGGCGGCCGCTCTCTGATTAGCCCGCCCCTTCCGGGGCAGGCCCCGCCCTCCTGCGGTCACGTGACCACAGTGGGGCGCCCCCACCCCCACCCCCCCGGACCCCCGAGGAGTGGACGCGGGGTCAGGGCCGAGACTTGCGCTATGACGCAGGCGCGCTCCCGACCGAAGGGGTGGGGTGGGGCTTACGACGCGCGAGAAAAAAGGAGGCGGGCGGGCGCGGCAAGGCCTTAAAGGGGCCGCGTGCGCGTGGTCTGGGCCGGGCCCAACTGAGGGTGCGCGCTCGGGTTTTCGGTGTCGGCGCCGGAAGCGTGGCGTCTCCCCGGCTCCGTGTCGCCCGGTGGGCGCACTTCTCCACGGCGCGGGGGACGCTGCTCCCTGGCGCGTCCCAGAGGGCTCCCCGGACCGGGGCCTGGGCGGACGCCCCAGCCGTCCCCGAGGGATGGTGCCCCCGCTGGCAGCGCCCTCCCAGGTCCGTGGGCAGCGCGGGGAGCCCGGCCCCGGGGACCCTCCCCGGCTCGTCTGGCAGCCGCCCGCTGGCCGCACGTCCCCGGGGGGGGGAAACCGGCGCGGGGCTGGGCGTTGGTCCTCCCGAGGCCGCGGCAGGGACGCCCCCAGGCCTGACGGCCCCGCGTGCTCGGACGCCCGCCGTAGCCGGGCCCTTGGGAGGCTCCCCAGGCTCGCGGCGCCCGCACGGACCAGCGAGCGGCAGCTTGGGTGTGTGCGGGGGCCCGGGTCGGATAGAGGGGGCCGACGGCGCCGCAGGCCTGCCGGCCCGCGCGCCTCTGCAGGCGGCGGTGCTCGACGCGCCGGGCTCCAGTATCGGGACGGAGAACAGGACGCCGATTGGACCGTGTGGTACCGCAGGCACAGAACGCCCAGGAGAGGGGGACCAGGGGTCAGGGGTGGTGGTTGCCCAACCTCGTCTCTGTGTTGAAATGTCGAGTTGTACCTTTGTAAAGGGTGGCTCTTGTGGTATGTGAATTACAGCTTAATAAATAGCTATTAAGAAAGCGGGGGGGGAGGGGGGAGGAACGAAAAATGAGGCAAAACGAATTAAAAAGCGACAGAAGAAGTGACCGCCGGCCTCCCTGCGCAGGCCCCCGCCTCTGGTCTACCTTCTGTGGCCACAGAGTGTTTCCCGTGAGAAGCCCCTCCCCCGCCAGCTCCCCTCCCGGGACTCCTCTCCGCGGCCCTCTCCTGGAGACCTGTCTCTGCCCCACCGCCCACTCGTCTCAGCCGATGGAGGGTCCTCTGTCTTTAAACGCGCTTGGGCCAATGACCTAGGAGGCCCCCTGGACCCCTCTTCCTTTCCCCCAGCTTAGATGTCCAGACAGCCCGGCCTTCGGAGGGGATTCAGAATCTGCGCACTTAGAGGTTCTACTGCCACCGCCAGGTCCCTGCGACACCCTCAGCCGGTCCCCGCAGTCACCTCTGCCCTCTCCTGCCCCCTAAGACCGTTCACCTCGCCGCAGCTAGAAGGACCCCCGAGAGGCTAAAGTCAGACCCTGTGACCCCTTGCCCCTTCGTTGGCTCCCATCCCACGGTGCAGCCAGAGCCTTTAACAGACCACGGGGCCTTCCAGGTCTGTGCCGATCACCCCACCACCTCCCTCCTGCTCTCCCTGCCTCTGCAGCCGGTGGGGCTTCCGGAAGCCACCCCATGCCTGCAAGGCTGTGCGTCCTTCCTGCCATGTCGTCCCTCAGCCTCTCACCTCCCGTGCTGTAACAAGACCCCCTTGCCCCAGCCCCTAGGTCTTGGTGCACATGTGGGTTTTTCTCTAGTTGCGGTGCACAGCTTGTCTTATTCGGGAGCACAGGCTCTAGGTGTGCAGGTTTCAGTACGTGTGGCTCCCAGGCTCCAGAGCACAGGCTCGGTGGTTGTGACGCAGGGGCTGTGTTGCTCTGCAGCCTCTGGAATCTTCTGGCCCAGGGACCAGACCTGTGTGCCTCCTGCACTGGCAGGCGGAGTCTTTACTGCTGAGCTACCAGGGAAGCCGCCCTACCTGCCCGTTCGGGACTCAGTCCACTTGGTCCCTCTCTCACACAGGTTCCTAATCTCATCCTAAGGTTATTGGGGTTTCTCCTCTTCTGTTCTCAGGAGGTGTGCTCCATGAGGACAGGGATCTTTGTCTTGTTTCATGATGTCAGGCACACAGTAGATGTTCAATACTTGCTGAATGTTGAATCATCAAGAACAAGGAAGCACCTTAAAAGCAGTTGGAGAGAAGGGACATTACAAAGATAAGAGAGCAGCAAATTTCTTGGCCAAAACAACACAAGCTCCAAAGCAATGAAAAAACACCCTGCAGCAGTTAAAGAAAAAACAGTCAACCTTGGATCATGTGCAGTGGAATGTGCCCCCCAAACTAAACTATGGTGAAATGAAATCATTTCAGGCAAAAGCTGAGTGAATTCATCACCAGTGGTTTTACGGTTTAAGAAATGTTACAGAACTTCTTCAGAGTTAAATTAGAATTTAACTGATACTTGGAAAGTTTCCACATATTTGGAAATTAGCCATCAGACATCTAAACAGTCCGTGGGTCATGTAAAAAAATCACAACGTAAACTAATATATTTTTAATTGCATGAGAAAAACATTAAAATGTAGGGATGTTTGTGTTAGAAATGAAAGGCTCCACAGCAGTAATCTTCCCCTTGAGAAGCTAGAAAAAGAATAATTAAATCCAAAATAGACTTTATTTTCTTGGGCTCCAAACTCACTGTGGATGGTGACCACAGCCATTAATTTGCAAGATGGTTGCTCCTTGAAAGGAAAGCTATGACAAACCTAGACAGAGTATTAAAAACCAGAGAGGATCACTTTGCCACCAAAGGTCCATAGAGTCAAAGCTATGGTTTTTCCAGCAGTCATGTATGGATGTGAGAGTTGGACTGTAAAGAAGACTGAGCACCAAAGAATTGATGCTTTTGAACTGTGGTGTTGGAAAAGACTCTTGAGAGTCCCTTGGACTGCAGGGAGAGCCAACCAGTCCATCCTAAAGGAAATCAGTCCTGAATATTCATTGGAAGGACTGATGCTAAAACTGAAACTTCAATACTTTGGCCACCTGATGTGAAGAGCTGACTCATTTGAAAAGACCCTGATGCTGGGAAAGATTGAAGGCAGGAGGAGAAGGGGCTGAAAGAGGATGAGATGGTTGGATGATATCACCAACTCGATGGACATGAGTTTGAGCAAGTTCCAGGAGGTGGTGAAGGACAAGGAAGCCTGGTGTGCTGTAGTTTACGGGGTCACAAAGAGTCGGACACAACTGTGCGACTGAACAACAACAAACAAAATAAGCAGAAGGAAGAAAACAATAAAGAGCAGAAATCAATTAAAATAAACAATGGGAGGAAATAATCCAAAATGTGCTTTGTAATATCTATAGAATTGAAATTCTGATTGATAGAAAACTGACTGTAGCTAAACTGATCGAGGAAAAATTAAGGAGAAACAAATGATCAAGAAGAGGAATGACCGCGCATCACGTGTCCTACAGGCATTGCAATAATAGAGCACATTACAGATGATGTGCTTAGCAAAGTCCTAGCAGATCAAATCCAGCCATACATAAAAAACATAACACCCCAAGTGGGATTTATCCAGGAAGGCAAGTTTGGTTTAACCATTCAAAATCAAAGAATGTAATCTTCCATATCAACAGAATAAAGAAGAAAAATCAGATGGTAATTTCCTTAGACAAAAAAAAGGACATTTGACAAAATTCATCAATTCACGATAATAATTCTCAGGATACTCCCTCAACCTGGTAAGGAACACCTAGGGGAACCTGCAGAAACTTCATTCTTAACAGTAAAAGGTGACACTTTCTGCCCAAGAAGGGAGACAAGGCCACGACGCCCTCCTCCTGTTTTAACCATGAGCTGGAGGCTCTGGCTGGTACAAGAAGGGAAGAAAAAGAGACACAAGACATGGACATTAAGAAGAAAGAAGTAAACTGTCTCTATTTACAGATGATACAATTGTGTACATAGAATATGCCTTAAAATTTGCCAAGAAGTAAGGCTAGTGAAGGACTTTAGCAAGGTCACAGGCCACGAGGTCTATATATAAAACCACTATGTCTGTTACCATATTAGAACTACTGGAAAGGGAAATTTAAAGATTAAGTGTACAATAACATTAAAAATCTTGAGGTAATTAAGGTTAACAAAATATGTCCAAGGCATGTACACTAAAAACTATAAAATGTGAATGAGAGAAATAAAGTAAATCTGAGTAACTATGTGGTGAGAATGTGTGTCATGAACTGCAAGACTCAAAACTGTTGATTTTTAAGTTCCTGTTATGAACTAAATCAGGGCCCCCTTCCTTAAACCATTATCTCCCTGTGACTCTATTTGGAGGCAGTTACCCAACCTAGATAGCATATTAAAAATACATTAATTTATTTTTGTAAAGTAAAACATACATTACTTTGCCAACCAAGGTCAGTCTAGTCAAGGCTATGGTTTTTCCAGTCATGTATGGATGTGAGTGTTGGACTGTGAAGAAAGCTGAGCACAAAAGAATTGATGCTTTTGAACTGCGGTGTTGGAGAAGACTCTTGAGAGTCCCTTGGACTGCAAGGAGATCCAACCAGTCCATCCTGAAGGAGATCAGTCCTGGGTGTTCATTGGAAGGACTGATGCTGAAGCTGAAACTCCAATGCTTTGGCCACTTCATGTGAAGAGTTGACTCATTGGAAAAGACCCTGATGCTCGGAGGGATTGGGGGCAGGAGGAGAAGGGGACGACAGAGGATGAGATGGCTGGATGGCATTACCGATGCGATGGACATGAGTTTGAGTAAACTCCAGGAGTTGATGATGGACAGGGAAGCCTGGCGTGCTGTGATTCATGGGGTCGCAAAGAGTCGGACACGACTGAGCAACTGAACTGAACTGAACTGAAGGTTAAGTGAGGCCAGAAGGGTGCAAGGGTGGTACCCCAATGCTCTAGGGCCAGTGTCCTCCTGTGTGGACAGGGCCTTGCCAGGATCCAGTGGCCGGCACCTTATTCCTGGACCTGTGGCCTCTAGGATCACAGGAATATCCTCCCATCTCAAGTAGACCGAGACCATCCTCAAGTCAACCTAGGAATTCTACACAATTCCAGTTTAAACCCCACAGACTGGTTTTTTCCCAGTAGACCCTTATGAGCTGATTCTAAAACGCAATCTAGAAAACCTAGAAAATGAGTCAACAAAAGGGACCCACGCTCCCCGATTTCACGGTTTCTGGGGCACCAGGACACAACAACTCGACTTCCAGGTGTCTACCCAGGAGGAATGAAGGAATGTCCACAGTCGTGAGTACCAGCTGTCATGGGTACCAACTGTCCTGGGAACCACCTGCGTGCCCGTGGCGGGTGGACAGCCAGGCTGGGTGTGCGTGGAGAAGCAGGGCTGCAGGGACCACAGATGTTTATGGGTGAGACTTGGCAGAGACCCAGAGCTCAGTCTGTGATTCGTTTTGAGTGGAGGCGAAACCTGAGTCATGAAGACAGGAGCGATGGCTGTGTGGGGCGAGTGGAGAGTCTGTGGGGGCCGGGGTGCCAGCCCCCTGGGCCTGCTGGCTGAGGTGTGTGAGTATTCAGCAAAACTCATCCAGCTGTCTATCTAGCAAACGTTAACACACAACCAGCAACCTCACATCCTCTCATAGAACGCGAATGCATGCTCAGCAAAAGTGCCCAAGAATGCTCGTGGCCGGTTTACCTGGAAGCAACCCAGTGTCCACCGGTGTGCAGACAGGAAGTCACCCTCACGTGCCAGTGGGAACCATGGGCAGGAAAAAGGATGAGCTGCCCTGCCCATGGGTGAGTCAGCAGGGGTCCGACAGCGAGGCTCTGTTTTCACCATGCCTGAGCGGCCTGGCTGAGTCACTCTCAGCAAGAACCACGGTTGCCCAGGACACTGGCCTGGGAAGGCCTTGGGGGCAGCCCGGAGGGCTGGACTGGCTTGCAGGCCACACGCACCAGCATGCGTGGCAGAAATCCATCTCCACATGCTCAGTTAAGACCTACTTCCACAGACAGGAAAGAGCAAGAAAGCAGGCAGAGATGGGGGCGAGGCCAGCAGAGACCCCCACTATCCCCCTCCCTGGGTATGGATGGCAGCAAAGAACCCATCAACCCACTGACAGCTCTGCCTGTGTCTGCAGAGCTGCAAGCCCACACGTGTGCCAGGCCTGACGTGCGGCATGTGGACTTGGGGTCCGGGGAGACCCCACTTAAATAGTGCTCCATTCTTGGCCCCAACTAAGCAGAGCACAATCACAACCTGGAGGTCGTGGTCTCCTTGGGACGTGGACCCAGGGGTCAGAGTGGGCACCTGGCAAGGGAGCAGAGAGCCAGACCGAGGCTTGAAGCTAGAGTGGCCAGCACCAGCAAGGAGCCCAGGTGGGCTGAGGGCCAGACAAGTGCAGTGGCGAGTCCAGGAAGGAGGCGGCCAGGGAACACGGCAGAGAAGAGGTGTGAGGAAGTGGTCAGCAGAGGCCACGGAGCTCACCCTGATCCTCAGAGGTGTCTGCAGGACAGGGACGGAGGCGAGTGGACCAGAGCTCACCCGGGCTGGGCACTGGGGACCTGGTGGACCAGGCGGCCCAGGAGGTGCACCGCCTTCACCAGGCCAGGATGACCTCAGCTGCTTCCGAGCCCTCTTTGGCCACCGTGACAGAAGCTGTACCAATTAAGAGGAATTTGCCCAAGGGAAGTGGGCACTCCTGAACTGCGGGGGCCAAAGCGGTGGACGGAGGGGCCCATGTGAGTTCTAATCCTTAACCCCCCAGGGCAACATTCCTGCTGACAATCAGCAGGCAGGGCTGAGCAGCAGACCCCATTCCCGCTCAGGAGGTGGCGTTTCAGATGCCAGGAAGGACCCCAGGTATCGGGGGTTGCTTAGGGTGCCATGAGGCTGAGGGGCCCTGGGGCAGGATGCAATCAAGTGAGTGCAATTCTTGAGTGCCCCGGGGCCCACCTTGTACTGACAGGCAGGTGGCAGACACCACCCACGGCATCCGACGTGCTGTCGCCGCACACGAAACGAGAAGTAGCAACGCCTTTACTGGCGAGTCTTACGTTTACCGTTTATTAGCTAATCAACATCAACATGCAAAAATAAGCGCTGAATACAAACCTCTACCATACGGTTCCGTGTAAACTACAACAGTTCGTCTGATTTGAAGTCACTGGTGGTTCCTCTAACTGAACTACTGGCTTCTGTAATGAATAGTGTTTAGAGCGAGCCACTGAGCCGTCGGCACGGCCTCTGCAGACGCCGGTCCAGTGGGCTTCCACGAGACACATTCTCAGCAGGAGATGAGGTGGCACGAGTGACGTGACACTGAACCTACACGGCCAAACGCGGCGCCCCGGGTGCAGCCTCGGGCAGGCGGCGGTCCTGGAGGCCAGCCCCACCTGCAGCCGCGGTGCCGGCCTTTTGGCAGCAGCTCTACAGAGAAGTGACACGGTCCCTCATGGCACCCAGTGGCCACAGGTCGGCCTGGCGTGGCCACCAGTGCTCCCGGGCCACGGCCGAGGACCAGTCCGTCCCGGGGGCTCCTTGTCAGCAGAGGGGAAGGAACTGTGAGAACACGGGGAAGCAGTCAGTTCCTGTGGTGCAAGGTTCCAGCCTCCCTCTGCATGGTCAGTCTGTAAAGTCTCTCTGAAAGGTGAAAGCTCTTCAGAAGCATCAACAGCTGACATGTTTCAAAGCCGAGTGCACGCTTGTTAAATCTTTCTTCCTCTCTTCCCAGGAGTGTTGTCGTTGCTCACTGATCTTTGGTCGCAGAAACAGAAAGGCAGGTAGGCAGGGGCCCAAGGCCGCCCGGCGTGGCGACCGCCTACATGATGTACACCTTCTCGGCCTGGGAGAAGTGGAAGACCTCTTTGGTTCTCGGGCAGACAACCTTATCATCCTGCCGGATAGAGAGCAGGGACTGAAAAGAAAGACCAGGTGCATTAAGGAGGGCCAATCCGGTTTACATCAGTTTCTTATGAGAAACCCACAGAAGCAACTCTCTGGAAACAAATCATTTCACAAAAGTCACTTCCTGCAAGTACCCCTGCCAAGAAGTCCTGGGCTTTCTCCACTGTCCCCCAACCCGCCTCGCAAAGGCCAGCTCGGGGCCCAACCCCTCGGCGCACTCTGCCCCGGCCCCGCCCGCCTGCCCTGCCCCTCCGCCCCTCACGTTGTAGCCGTAGACGTAGCCGTTGGGCAGCATCATGGGCGGGTTGTTCTCGTTCATGACGTCCCCCGAGATCTTGCAGACGAGGCGCGAGTTGGCGCAGTGCGCCATGGGCAGGGGCTGCGCCAGCTTGTTCAGCGAGCGACTGCACACCGGGCAGTCGGGGCTCCGCGAGCTGCCGTCCTCCTTGTAGCACTGCCTGGGCGCGGGTTAAGGAGGGCGGGCGGCCGAGGCCCCAGGGTCCCGAGCACCCCGTGGGGGCTGCTGAGCACTACGGTCCTCACCTGGGCACGGGAGCCCTCCCGCACTGTCTCAGCACTGCTGCTGTGACGCAGTCAGGGCACGATCTGGGCCTGGGGGACACTGCGGACGCTGTTTCAAGGGCAGGGACCAAGGCTGGTAGGGAGCGGGGTCTGCACACCAGCCCCGCACTAGGAAGGGGGCACATGGGGAGCACTCCCAGCGTGAAGGATACGGTGTCTTAATGGCCGAGAGGCCAGCCTGCAGGGTGAGGGTGAACACGGAGTTGTTCCCCAGCTGGTGCAGCCGGTAGTTGTCGTACCGGAACTGCTGGATCAGCATCCGCCACCGCGCCGGGTCCAGCAGGTCCTGGAAGAAGCGGGGCAGAGTCGTGACAACAGCAAACAAACTCCAAGTCTCTTCCCTGCAGACGAAGATGAGCACCACCCCGATCAGCCACACGCTGGCGCCCGGAGGGCAGCCTTGACTTCCACCCACAGCCAGGCCACTGCTGCCTCCCTTTCTGGGACACCAACTCCTGAGCCTATGCTGATGCCCTGGAGTGTGTGTCCTTTGTCCCCGAGACAAGTCAAGGACTCAGGGCTGGAAGGAAAGCCACTCATGGAGCGAGCTCCAGAACCTCTTGCTAAGAGCATTAAGGTTTGCAAGGAGAAGCCTTATGCCAGGGAACAGCTTATTAGAACACAGGACTAAATCTGACTCATGTTGGTCCCTAAAACCACCCAGTTTTAGACTCAGAAGGGGCGGGGGGACAGGGAGGGAGGAGGAGGCAGCCCAGCAAGAGTGCAGTCAGAGGCTCTGTGAGCCGCTCAGAGCCCCGGCATACAGCGCGACCCCACTCCCAACATTTAAAACATGATTTTTAACATTTCTTTTATCCCACAGTCCATGGTGAAGGAGGCCCACGCTTGGGGCGGCCACGCCCAGCGCCAGCTGAGCCCTGCAGCCTCTGCTACAGCCGCTGTCCAAACAAAGCACTCTGTCCATTCCCACTGTGACCCATTTGGACGTGTCTGTGACCTCTTGCCAAGAGGGACGAAGGCATCGCTCCCTTAATGAGGCTGCTCCAGCTCGTGTCAGGAGTGTCTGGTCCCCTGCTCCTGCTTCCAGGACACCGTCCCAATTGTTTCTGAGCTTCCTGCACCTGAGACCTCCACCTGCTCGAAGTCACAGTTCTCCTGTCATCCAGGTCTCCTCTTTGGTGCTGCTTAACCTGCCAGACCAACTTTCTTGGACCATAAAGAAAGCTGAGCGTTGAAGAGCTGATGCTTTTGGTGTTGGTGTTTTGGTGTTGGAGAAGACTCTTGAGAGTCCTTTGGACTGCAAGGAGATCCAACCAGTCCATCCTAAAGGAAGTCAGTCCTGAATATTCAGTGGAAGGACTGATGCTGAAGCTGAAACTCCAATACTTTGGCCACCTGATGTGAAGAGCTGACTCACTGGAAAAGACCCTGATGCTGGGAAAGATTGAGGGCAGGAGGAGAAGGGGACGGCAGAGGATGAGATGGTTGGGTGGCATCACCAACTCGATGAACGTGAGCTTGAGTAAACTCTGGGAGTTGGTGATGGACAGCGAAGCCTGGCATGCTGCAGTCCATGGTGTTACAAAGAGTTGGACACAACTGAGCGACTAAACTGAACTGAACTGAACCTGCCAGGCCAACCTTGACAGCCAAAGGCTGTCGTGTTCCAGCTGGTGGAGAACCCTGCCCAGGGGAGGGGACGCCCGCCCCGGGGCCTATTCTGAGGCTCAGTCCCTCTGGATCCCAGAGCAGCGATGACATCGCTGCCTGGCTCTTTACAGCCGCTGTGAGGCCTCACCAAGAAGTGAAGAGATGTGCTCCACACCCTCCTGAGCTGGGAACCTCACCCCCAAGGGGAGGCTGGCCCTTGCTGCACTTTAAAGAGAAAATGCTGTGAGTTAAAATGTGAGTTTAGACCTGAAGATCTTTGTGACCTGCTGATTTATTATATTCCCAAACACCACAGAAAGTGTGAATTCAGGTGGGCAAGAAGCTTCCAGCAGCTTTCAAAAGGACCTGCAGGCACTTTGGGCGGTGGGGGCAGGATCTGCCCAGAGGCTCCCACAGAACACCGAGGGGCAGCAGGGCAACACTCGGCCTTGGACAGCGGCCAGCTTCAAGGCCCAGAGGACAGGGTGGGTCCACCACCCAAGGGTTTTATTCTCTCCCCTACAAGTACACCCGCCGAAACGCTGAGGCCCAAAACGATGGTCGGGAGAGGCCCTTTGGGAGGTAATGAAGTCATGGGCGGGGGGCTCACAGATGGGATCAGTGCCCTTCTAAGAAGAGCCCCCAGAGAGCACCTGACCCTTCTGCAGAAGTCGTGACTCAGGCTGGCACCTGACCTTGGACTTCCAGCCTCCTGAACCCTGAACAATACATTCTGCTGTTCATAAGCCCTGGTCTCTGGTATGCTGTTGCAGCTGCCAGAAGGAACTAACACAGAGAACGGCTACCAGAAGTGGATGCTGTGGTAACAAGTACCTAAACACGGGGGTGGAGCTTCACAACACAGGGCAGCAGCTAAACATCTGGAGACAATGCCCGACAGAACGGACCATTAAAAGTGAGGGTTCAGGAAGAGACGAGAATGGCAGAGCGCACCCCAGTCTCTGGAGAGAAACCTAAGAGCTGTGCACCATCAAGGCCACTGTGCTGAGACCTCAGGCCCAACGAAGCCCGAGTTATTGGGAACTGGAGAGAAGGCTCCTGGGTACAAAGAGTCGCGGGCCTGGCAGAGCTGAGCTCGTGGACGGGGCTGGGGGTGATGAACCTAGCATCTACTGAAGCCGTCTCTGGGCAGAGTGCTGAAGGTGTGGCTTGGCTTCTCTTGGGTGTTTAGCCTGCGGGTGGGGGGATGAGGGGAGATGAACCCAGTGATCCTGACGCAGGGAAGAGAATGCAGGGCAGCAACACGTGAGGTCAGGAAAGACGCTAGCAGAGCCACGCAGAGGCCAGGCCTGTCCAGCCTTGACCGGGCCTCCAGAGGAGTGAGCAGGCACTCAGAACTGCACTTTCCAACTGAAGTGCTTTAGGAGCTGTTCTGATCAAAGATTTTGCCAGCAAAATGGGAACAAGATGGGGAAAAAGGCCTGGGTGGTGTGCGGGCCATGCTGGTCAGTGGCAGTGATGGCAGGCCCGGCCCCACCCTAGGCCCGGGGCGCGCCGTACCTTGTAGGGGGAGATATGCGTGTCCGGCGGGAAGGCCAGCATGCCCATGACCTGGCGGACCTCATCCAGCTGGCTCCCCTCAGCCTGGCTGAAGTGCTTCCTCGCGTGTCTGCAAAGACACAGTGCAGCCTGGAGATGTCTGCACTCCCACCACCCCCACCCAGGCACCGGCTGCGCCTGCCCAAACCTAGCCCGGGAGGGGCCCAGAAGCCTGCCCCGCACATTTGGGGGGGGTCCTACCTCACCGCATCCAGCCTCTTGTTCTGCCGGATGAGCTCAATGAACTCCTGGATCCTCAGGCTAAACTCCAGGCAGCTCTGAGGGTGAAGACAACAAAACAACCAGCTTAGCCAGGCGCACCCAAAGCTGTGTCCCGGTTCGCGGCTGCACGCACTGCTACAGAAGCTCAGCATTGCCAGGGAGGCAGGGCTGCTGCTAAAACCCTAATTGCAACCTGCAGCCAACACTTGCTGGGTCCTGACAGGCCATGGCCCAGGGGACGTGGGGCGAGGAGCATCGGGGGCGCTCCCGAGCCGCAGCTGGCTGCACAGAGGTGGCAGCCTCGTCAGCACAGTGCCCTCGCCACACCCTCCTACTTGCGGGCCTCCTCTTTCCAGCCCTGGGCCACGCTGAAGGCTGGCGGGGACGGAGCGCCGCATGAGGACCCTCACAGTGTGGGCCAAAGCGACTCTGGGAACGAGCCAGCTCAGAGGCCCTGGATGGGCAGGGCCTCAGCATGTGGCCAGGACTGGGCGAAGATGGCAGAGGTGGGCAAGCAGGTCAGGGCCGGCTCCCGGAAGAGCCCGGGACATGCCACAGGTGCGAGGGCCCCAGGGCTAGGGCTGCTGTGCTGGGAGGCAGCCATGGCCCAGCTCCATCTGGAAGGCGTCTGTCCTGAAGCCCCACAGGAGACCCCAGGGGATGCTAATACGGCCTCCATCAACAGGGTAGCTTGTAAGGAGCCCAAGCGAACTTTGAAACCTTAGCAATATCAACCCAATTTGGGCTAAAACTCCTGCAGCTAGGGGTAGAGGGCAAGCAGGCAAAATTAACTTTTGTGACCTAAGATGAAAAATCTGGATTATTTACTATAACATCTTCAACATGACTTCAGTAAAGTGTTTCCAACCAGAAGCAAAATACATGCAGTACACAGCACGGAGGCCAAGCTTGGGACCTCCGTTCACTGTCCCACCCACAGTGCCCCGGCCTTGAGATGATATAAACGCTGCCCTGTGCCTGCTGCTTCCAAAAGCCTGCCAACCTCATGACTTGCTCCCTGCCCTCCAGCCTGGCATAGACACTGGATTCTGGGGAAGCACCTGGGCTGGGGGGACCCTGGGAGGACACCCTCCACGAGCCCCCAGCCCGGCCCCAGGCACACCAAGTGGAGGGCGGGCAGACCTGACTGCAGGCTGTGCCGCCCGGCGTCAGGGGCACGGCAGAGGTGCAGAACCACTCACCTGGTACCCACACGTCCACTCCACAGGGGCTCAGAGAACGTGGTCGGTCTCCCTGCCCAAGCCCCCCTCCCCACCCTTCTGCAGGGCACTGAGCCCCGGGCAGCAGCCTGTCCTGACCCCAAATGGATGAGGCAGGGCGAGGGTGACGTGGCAGGTGCCGCACAAACCAGTGAAGAAAAACTCTGCCCCTTTCGGAGGCCAGACGAGCAGGGCTGAGCCGGGGACTGAGGCCGGGGCGCCGCCTGCCTCCCAGGGAGCGATGACCACTCCCACCCGGGGCTGCCTCTGTAGAGCATTGCCAGTAAACCCTAGGTCAGCTCTATAACCTGACACGGAGAAATGTGCCTCTTTGTTCATGGTGGCTCTCTGCTCTCCAAGTTAACCCTCACAGTCCACTGAGAGGGTGGACACACGCAGGTGTCCAGGCCGGACAAGGACGGCCACCATCTGGCGACATCACACGCGACCTGCGAGGCTCCGCGCGTTCCTGTTCACGGCCCCACAGAGGCTGCAGATGCACAGCACGCACGCTGCCTCTGCCAGCCTGACGTGTCCAGAGACCCGCCTCAACTCAGGAGACTTCTGGGGGCTGTACTCACTACTTTGGAGGTATTTTCAACTATAGGAAATGTGGGTCTCAAACTTTCTTTTCTCATCTAGAGCCTCACCACCGATCTGAGGGACCCTTGCCATCTGGCGTGGGCCCCCTGACCCCCCGCCCCCAGCCTGCATGTGTGATCAAGTACCAGAGCTCACATGTGCCCACAAGGGTACAAACTGGACAGAGCCTGCACACCGGCTTGTGTTCAGCCGGAACTTTGTAATGAGACGTCCTGACGTCCTTTCATCCTCTAGATGCACTTCTGGACAACTACTTATGCTCCTTCAGTTACGTGATGAGACCACGGGAGTGTGCTGTGGTGGATTCGCCCCGCCAGCCCACCCCCTGGCAGGTAGGTGCAAGGCTCCCCGCTGCGACCCGACCCCCGTGGCGTGCCTGGCCAAGCAGCAGTGTTCTCGGGGAGGGAGCAGGGCTTGCAGAAACTGCCTGTTGCACCGGAGGCCTGTTTTCCTTCTGCCCTGGTTCCCGCCGAGCGCACAGCCGTGGGGGTGGAGCAGAGCGCGGGCGCGTGTTACATACCAATTCTGGCTTTCCTTTTATGGTTTCCATACCAAGATCCTCACTCTCTTTAGGGGAGCCACTGGCCACTCTACTTTTCCGTCCCGTCTTCGCGTCGTGCTCGCTTTGGCGGCCCTGAGTGGCAGAGAGTGTCACCCTTGGCTGGTGACTATGTGCACACGACAAGCTCAACGGGGCGGGGTTAAAGGCACTCAGTTTAGAACACAGTTTTTCTAACGGAGGCAGGAAAGGTTAATACAATCAAGCATTTCTGCAAGCCCTAAGGCGTTGATACCTTTCAGGAAACATGTTTAAATTCTGCAATTTATGTTTAAGTGTCTATTTTTTAAGCTGCTTCTGGGTCTCAAGAGAAGCTGTATTCGAGAATATCCCAGCCTGGAACTCTGCACCCTCACAGGCAGGCACCCACTCCTCGCAGGGTGCCTTCCTGAGTCAGTCAGTGGGTGGGTAGGAGCTGGGCCCACCCTGCTCCAATCCCCGGCAGCACATGAGTGGTCCACACCACGTGCCTTCAGAACTTCACTCAACATCTGTTCAAACCATAATACAAAGAGTGCCCTTATGAGAATTTCCCCTAAAACCCAACACCACCCTCTTATATAAAAACCCCAAACCCACACCAAACCCAACAACAACCCCCCCCACCCCCGTTATGAATCCACACAACTCCGAAACAGGCTCTGGTGCAGGTGGCACCGCCCCGCCGACTCTGCAAGCTCTGCCCAGGCACGCCCTGCCCACTCCAGGAGCCCTGCCAGGTGCAGCCCCGCCCCTCCGGGAGCCCAGCCCCTCCCCGGCGCCCCACCCCAGCGCAGCCCTCGCACCTTCATCTTGCGCAGCCGGGATTTGTTGTCATGGCACCAGGCCAGGCAGGTGGCGGTCTCGCGCCTCTCCAGGGACTCCTCCACCTCTTTGGCAGTCAGGAACATCTCGATGTTCACTAAATCCTGCAGTGAAGAGAACCATGGCTCAGAGCACTGGACCCCAGACCTGCCCAAGGCTGGACGGTCACGGCGCCCGGGAGCTGGCATCCCGCGCCTCCTCTCACGCAAACACCCTCTCCGGCGCTGGGACACCCCGCCACGGGCCGGGTCTGCACAGCACGCAGGCCTGGTGACAGGCCAGGTCCTGCCAGAATCTGGGGCCCCACCAGCTCTCACAGGGCCGACATGGAGATCCCAGTAGTCCATACTCTCAATTTCTATGGGTTTTGCTCTGCAGATTGATTTCGAGTTTAGGTTTTTGAGAAGGGGAAAGTTGGGGGGCTGCATGTCTCTCACCTCCACTGTCTGCTCCTCTCTCCCACCCTGAGGAGTGCAATCTGGGCCGGCAGGCCCAGTGCTGCTGAGCTGGAGGAGCCCAGCAGAGCTAGGGACCCACAGGAGCCAACCCACCCACTCCAGTGCCCACATGCCGAAGTCGAGGGGCCGCTATGGTGCCAGGAAGTGCCGCGCGGTGGTGGGGGGTGGGGGCTGGGGGGAGGGGGGCAGGAAGCGTGGAGCCTAAGCAAGAGGTTGGAGTAGCCAGCAAGAAGGACCTCCCTGGCCATACTGGACAGGTGATGCATGTTCCGACATGACAAATAAGGGGTGGCTGGAAAAAAATTTCTCTTCCCTCAGGCACAGACTGAGCTGGTCATTTTCTGTCATCCGGTGGAGGAACATCCAGCACACAACAGCCCTGGAACTCTCCTGTCTCCACAGCCTCCACTTGGGCCTCGCAGGCCACTGGGGCCGCGGACACCGCTTCACTCAAGCTCTCTTGGCCAAGGCCGGCCATGCAGAGCAGCTTGGAGCTCGCCACGGACGTTCCGTGTGCAACACCAGAGCCACCTCAAGCTCCGTGCGGGAGCTGCAGAAGGAAGCAGAGCCCCACTGGTGGACACAGCATGAGGAAGAGACACCTGCTCTACTTCAGGAGAAGGTCAGTGGAGGCACACAGTCAATGACGTCGCCATGAAACCAGGCACTTATAGCAAAATTAACGAGAAAAAATAATCAAGTACTGTTACTAGGCAGCGAGATGGTGCCCGTGGACCAGCTCCTGGGGCATCCTCTGTGGACCCAAATGGGCGCTGGTCACGGGCACAAGAGCAGCTGATCAGAGGGCCCGGGGTGCTGCTGTCGGGGCTGCTCTGGACAGAGCGAGGGTGAGGGCAGGGCACCACAGAAGGGAGGCTCCACCTGCATCCCCAGGAGGGACAGTGGCGGACGGTGGCTGGGGCCTGCAGTGTGTGCCCTCAACCGCCCCAGCCTGACCTCTCCTCAGCTCCACGTCCTGACTGCCAGAGCAGGACACGGTCAGAGGGCTGGAGCGCAGCGGGGCCAGCACCAGCCTCCAAGGCTCCCCACCACAGCCCCCGCTCTGCCCAGCTGCTCCCCCAGCCTCGCCCTGAGCGTGGGATTCAGTGAGGAAGCCTCCTGTGGTTGCCCAGCCAGGACTCGCTAACCCAGCGCTTGACTCGCCGCCCTCCCTACAGAGGGGGCCGCGTGCTGGTGCTGCTTCTCTGGCCATCTCGCCACAGTCTTCTTTTTCCCGAATGTTCCCCGCTAGGCCAAGGCTAGGCTCTCAGATGACATGCTGTCTTCCTTCTCTCTTGTGTCCCATCCTTTCCAGGTGGCCTCTCCCGCCCACACCCCCGGAGTCTGGACTTTCCAAGTCTCTCCCTTTCCTGTGGACAGTCCTCTGATGACCATGGACCCTGGGCTGTGGGAGCCCCAGTAAAGATGTTAAACCAGTTGGCCGGAGGCGAGCCACAGCGAGCGAGCACCACCCACAGCCCCCTCCCAGGAGGCGCCACCATGGAGGCGGCTAACACAGGGCCATGGCTGACTCCACCAGGCCTTCCGCCTGCCACAGCCGCCACCGTGGCCCACACTCCCCTCCCTCTTCAGGGTGTCTCTGGATGAGAAGGAGCCCCAGCGCTACAGCCTCTTCCTGGGAGGCCTCGCCCACCCCAAGGCCAGGACAATGCCATCCTGTGTCTGCTTCAGAAAGAGCTGCGTTTCTGTGCTCAGTGTGAGGCTGGGGGCTCCATGGGGAAACACCTTCTGGGACTGGCTCCTAGACAAGGTTCACGCCAACTGACCTTCTTTTGAGGACCACCGGCCCCGCCCGCCCCCCACTGCCCGTGTGCCCCTCTGCAGACAGGTGACCACCGGCCCCTGCCTGCCCCCAGATGCCCCTCTGCAGACAGCTCACCTTCACCACATCTGGTCTGGCTTCACACTTCTCCCCCCATGGAGCACACCTGGGAGCCAGGAGGAACAGGGAGCTTGGGCCTCACCAGCCAGTGCGGGTAGGTGAGCCTGGCCACGCCCTCGCAGGTGCAGGGGAGGGCACAGGAGTGAAGCCCGACAGACGGACAGGCTATGCCGGGAAGATGAGGCAGGGAGAGCCTGTGGTGAGGCGGAAGCTGGGGTGCCTGGTGGGGGATCGGGCGCCAGGGACCACCAGGCACCAAGCTGAGACTGGCAGCCCCATCACCCACAGCAGGAGCCTGGGGCCGGGCACACGCAGCTCAAGGAGCTGCCCAGGGCTGGGGTGCAAGTGGGAGGATGCCCACCCCCCCACCAAGTGTATCAGCCACGTCAGAGGAAAGGCCTGGAGCTGTAACTAGGCGAGGACACGGAGCCCGTGGGAAGCAGCTGGGCTGGGCACGCTGCTGGGGACCCCAGGCACCTCCTGGGATGGGAGCAGGGTCACACACTGGGATTCGGAGCCACCAGAGCTGAGCCCCATCAGCCCAGGGAGGGAGCCATGCACACTGGGTGGGGGCCAGGGGGCCTGAGGACACGAGGGTAAGGAGGCTCAGGCCTGGGGGTCCCTAGTGCAGCAGAGGAGCAGGCTGGGGAGGGACGTGGGAAGGAGAGACAAGAAGGACATCGCCCTAGACAGAGGTGCTCCCGCCAGAAGCTCTGCCCATGGGAAGTGGGCACACGAGTGCAGCCACCTCCCGGGTACCCCTGACTGCTGGGCCCGCCGCAGTGAAGGCCACCCTCAGGACATCGGCACCACCGCACCCAGCCAGCAGCATGAAGGGTGGAGCACGGTGCGGGTGGACCCGCAGAGGCCAGCGGAGGGCACAGGCGGCCCGATCACCACTGCACCCAGCCTGGGGCATCGAGCGCTTCCACACCTGCACCCCGGGGCCACCACAGAGGGACTCACGGAAAGCACGCCCGGGCCGAGAGAGAGGCGCACGCACAGGAGGCCGCTGGCGCGGGGCAACCCCGTCCACACCTCTGCTCCTCCGAGCCCTCACGTGAGGGAAGAACCACCAGTCTCAGGACACGGCGGGGCCCATCCCTGCCCACCTCGATGCCGCTCTGGCGCGCCAGCTTCACGGCCGTGTTGTAGTAGCCACAGCGCAGCAGGTGCTCCACCATCATGCGGTCCATGCGCTTCCTCTTCCACACGCTGGCCGCCGCCGGCTGGTCACTGCTATGCTCCTTGAGGTGCTCGATCCGGCGCTTGCACAGCTTGGCGCTCTCGTCCTCCGCCTGGATGGATTCCACTGCCTGCGGCACATTCAGGCGCTCAGGACCCGTGGCCGCCCACCGGAGTCCCACCCAGACCTCCTACCAGACTCCCACCCGGGCCGCCCACCTAGACCACGGAAGACTGGGTGGCAGGGAGGTCAGAGGGGGAAGCAGGCCCCTGGGCCGCACAAGACGGGAGGGTAGGAGAGGAGCTACCGTTTCCAAGGTGACGGCAGGGTCTGTCCTTCCCCACAGGGATGCTGCTTTCTGTTTTACCTACTCAAGCTGCACTGCCCGAGGCAGAGAACTTTACATTTGTCCAGCTTCCGGGTTAATGAATCCACCTGTCATTATAACCTGACATTTTATCTTTTATAATACTTTTTCTAAAGGCTGTCTAGTTCAGAATTAAGACAGCCAACTGGCAGTGTCCTACACCTGCTTATCACACAGCAGCCACTGGCGACTACCTGAAGTGTGGGTCCGCGACTCTCCCATGGGAACGTCAGTGGCACAGGCGGCTGGTGGCTGTGCACTGGACGCCAGGTCTGGAGTCCCAGTCAGCCCGACTGCTCCCAGCCCACCCCACCGTCAGAAGCAGCTGTCAGGGTGAGGGGACTCTCCTCTACCCGCCTTTTTAACGTCTTCAGTCTCACTGAGTGAAAATCCCATGCACACTTGTTTCTGTTTATCGTGTTGAGGTCTCTGAGCTACGGACCGTCGGTGAAAAGCTCCTGGTCACTCTCCCTGCACTCAGGGCTCCCGTCTGCCCCTCCTTGAGCTCTGGCCCACGGCAGGCTCTGCCCCACTCGCCAGTCTCTCGCCCGCTTTTCATCTCTGTGCTGTATTCCAGGTTAATTTCCTCAGACCCACTTTCCAGCTCTTTAACTCTCTTTTTAGCTGGATCTGATTGTTAAAAGTTAAAATATTTATTGTAAGTAAAATTTGAGTTTTTCATTTGCTATCTTTCTTTTCTTGAATTTTTACTTGTTTTTTTTTTAACTTCAAATCACTTACACTATCTACTCCCTGCAGGTATCTCCAAGCTGCTTTTTCACCTTTAAACACAGTGAAGTGTGGTACCCGCTAGTTTCTACTCTGCAGTCTGTGCGGACCTCCTATTCCTGCCGAGTCTCAGTCACAGTGCCCTGTATCCGTCCCCTCCCACTGTGGTGGCTACTGTCACGGAACCTGATGCTCAGGTGGAAAGCAGCCTCCACCGGGAAGAACCGCGTTCACTCCACCGGAGCCCCGAGGCAGCAGCTGCTGAGACCACCCACCAGACGGGGGCTGGGGGTGGGGCCATGGCGCACAGCTCCCGTGGCTGTAAACCTGGGCGCCAACGCCTGCGGGGAAAGCCGCTTCTGGGCTCCCTCACCTGATACAGCGCTCCTACCATCAGACCCCCACTCTTAACGGCCCGACGCCCGGCCAGGGAGGCCCTTGGTGGGGGGCTGTCCCGAGGCAGCAGGGGTCCCTCGCTTTCTGCCCCAACCCTACCCCGGACTGCGTGCTCTCCAAACCTGATGATTCCTGTCTCATGAGCTTGCGGTACTTGAGATATTTGAAAACATTTCATCTTATCTCACTTTGGGGGTATATCTACCATCCTCAGAAACAAGAAAGCCAATGTGCTGTTGTGAGGTGAAATGGTGGAAATAATAAACCTGCTCCCATCCTGGGCCCAGGACACGTGGAGACAGGAACTGGAAGCGGGGTCGCGAAGGCTGCCTCCCGCAGCAGAGCAGGACAGGGTGGGGGCCGCCCTCCGCCATAGCTCCCCCAGGGGCAGGCGGGGAAGGGGGTGCCCGCAGGTGCCCGTGGCTTGGGGCAGGGCAGGCGGCACAGCCCGGGAGAGCACTGACCTTCCTCTTGAGGACGCTGAGCTTCTCCACCACGCCGTCCAGGAGGCTGACCACAGAGTCCACGGCCGGACAGCCGCTCAGGGTCTTCTCCAGCTCGGCCACCACCATGGTGACGTGGCTCGTCTCGCGGTCGATGTTCTTCTGCGCCGCGCGGAAGCGCTTGTTCAGCGTCTCGTAGGGCACCTGCGGGCGACAGAAGACCTCTGCGCCTGTGCCCTCAGCGGGCGGGGCCGCTTGTCCTCCACGTGAACGGTGGCCTCCTTCATGGCACTTTTGGAAGCAAGAGGCTTCGGCTTCTCATTCACTAAAAATGTGTCTCCTCTAAAACCTGCCTGAGCCCCACAAAAGGCCCATGTGAGCGAGGGTCACCCCGGTTCCTGGACAAGGACACAAGGCTGAGCTGAGCCCGGCCCACAAGACACAGGGCAGCCTCTACTGTCCCCCAAACCTCCACCTGTCAGTGACCAGAGGGCCCCTGCGTTCATCTAGAACAACAGAGTGAAGGAGAAGACCAAAACGGAGAGCCGTGCTGGGGGCGGGAAAGCCCACGATGACCCTGTGATGGCCCCGGTGGGAGCAGCCGGGACACTGCTGAGGCCAGGAGCACAGACAGGAAGCAGCCTGTGGACACGTCGGTCAGGAAAGGCCACCAGCCCAGGGCCGAGCACTCCAGTCCCCCTTCTACCAGTCCCGGGCCCCCCGCGGACCCGGCCTCCCCGCCACCCCCTCATGAGCTCCTGGGACTCATGTCCTTCCCGGGACACCAGGCCACCCAGGCCTTGCCTCTCCCACTGTCCCCAACTGTCCTGTCATCAACAGCTCCACAGGCGCCTTCCTGAAGGGCTTTTGCCAAAAGAAAGGATAGAATTTCAGAAATGCTGCAGGCTAAACCACTCTAAAGTATCACTGAGAACATGGCAAAACTGAGATGCTTTCATATTGGCAAGGTTCCTGGCTTAGCTGCCGAATCCCCTGGAAGGAGAATTACTCAGAGACAGTCCTGGTGCAGAGAAGAAAACCATGCAGACGCAAGACACAGCAGTGAGAGTGGACACCAGGGAAGAGAGAATGCGTCACTCCTCAACACGCTCCCGACAGGACAGGCAGCAGAAATGGGATGAGCAACATTCAACTTTAGAACTTCCCTGAAACCAAAGAAACCACCATCAGAGGGAAAAGGCAACCCAGGAACAGAAGGAAATGTGTGTGAACCACACAAGCAGGACAGGGTGACCATCCAGGCTGCGTGAGGAGCCTGACAGCCCCCATGACAGACAGACAAGAACTGGTGAAAAACAGGCAGAGGGCTGGAACAGAGACTTCTCTGAGGCAGACAGACACCCCCGACACGTGAGGGTGGGCGCTCAGCCCCACTGCCGCGTGGGGGAACGCCCCCAAGCCTCCCAGAGCGCGCGCACCGGGACACGAGGCAGGGACGGGGGCAGCCGTGCTGGGGGCGTGCAGGTCCCCCCTGCGCTGGGACCCTCCGCCAGGAGCACGAGGAACACGTGTGCTGCGGCATGCCATCATCATCGGAAGCTGACCGAGAGGGGCACGGAGCTCCGTGCACGACACGGCTCTGTCGGATGCTCAGAAATGAAGAAGATGGTCAACTGGCTTTTACCACAGTAAAAAAGATCCTGAACGATTTTGTTACCATTCGGACAATGGCGCCTGATTCAAAGCACTGGTCCAGGGAGGCTCGGAGACCAAGGAGGGGGCGGACCTTGTGGGAACCCACGTGCACAGTCTGTGTGGCCAACTGAGTAGGCAGGGCGATTCAGAGCAGAGGGCCAGCCACGCCCACAGCAGAGGCGGGGGGACGGACCCCCGCGTGGGCAGAGGGCCAGCCACGCCCACAGCAGAGGCGGGGGGACGGACCCCCGCGTGGGCAGAGGGCCAACCTGCGCCCCATACAATCTGCACAGATTCCCTTGAAATGGACCACAGACCTAAACGCAGAAGCTAAGCCTGTAGAAGTCCCAGCTGGGAAACACAGGGGACCTTCCTGGCCCTCAGAGAGAGAGGCCTCCCACAGGGACACAGAAAGCACCAGCTGGGAGAGAGAAATCAATTAGTCTTTATCCAAACTAGAATTCCTGCCTTCTGAAAGACAATTTGAGAATAAGGACAATTTACAATAAGCTGCATCGCTATTTTACAAATTTCTGACATATAATTCAGACACCATAAAACTTACCCTTTCAACTCAAGTATACAATCCAGTGGTGTTTAATATGATCGCAAGGCTGTGCAACCATCAACACCATCTACTTTCAGAACATTCTCATCACCCCAAAATAGAAACTCCTGCCTACAGAATTCTTGCCCCGAGTCAAGGAACCAGCCAGGGATCTCCTGTCTACCTGACCGGATCTGCCTGTGCGGGACACTCGTATAGACCTAACACATAATGTACTCTGTGGGCGTTCACGTCTGGCCTTTTAACTGAGCGACATGTTCCCACAGCTCAGTCTATGACGCAACACGCGCTTCACTCCTCTTCATGGCCGAACAGCATCGCCTTCCGGGACCCACATTCGTTTCTGTACCAGTAGAGAGATGGACACTGAGGCTGCTTCCACTTCAGAGAGATGCCTGCACGGGTTTTGTATGGGCATGTTCGCATTCCTCTCGGAGGGGAACTGCTGGGTCGTATGGTAACTGTTTAACCAGATGGCTTTCCTCAGCAGTCGCGCCATGTTACATTCCTTAGCAAGCACAAGGATTTTGGTTTCTCCACATCCTCATCCAACATGAGTACTGTCCATCTTTCTGATCAGTCACTCCTGTGGGTGTAAAGTGGGGCCTCACCGCGGTCTCGCTGTTTCACTGACAATGATGCCTGCGTCTCCTCTATGCCTATCAGCATTTGTATCTCTCTTCAGAAGTGTCTCCTCATAACCATCTGCTCGTTTTTACGGCTTTTTTTATGTTATTGAACTGTAAGAGTTGTTTATACATTCTGGATACTAGATCCTTAGAAATTATTTGCAAATATTTTCCTTCTGTGAATAGTCTTTTTACTTCCTTAAACGGCATCCTTTGAAGTATAAGCTTTTTCGGTTTAATGAAATCCAATTTATCATTTAACTGTAAACAAAACTGTTTCCTCCATTTCCCTTTTCACTGTTCATTTCTAGGGTGGAGAAATAAAAATAACTTTCATTTACTGATCTTGTACCCTGAAACTGTTTTGTCCCAGATTATCAGTCCCAGGAGATCTGTGTGCGCGCTGTGCACACGTGTATCCCTTAGGATCTTCCACAGACACGACTATTTCATCTGCAAACTGTCGCTTCTTCCTTTCCAGTCTGACTGCCTGCTATTTATTTTTCCTGCCTGAGCCCCAGTGAGGATCTCCAGGGCAACACTGAGTGGAAACGGTGAGTGGACATCCTTGTCTTTTTGCTCACCTTTCCATGTTTCACCACGGAGTGTGATGATGGCTATGGTTTTCTCAGAAATGCTCTTTATCAGGTTGAGGACACTCTCCTCTATTCCTAGTTGGTTCACTGTTTTTATCATGAAAGGGTGATGGATTTTGTTAAGTGCTTTTATCTGTGTCTGTTGAGATGATCATGTGGCTTTTGTCCTTTATACTATTAGGATAACAATACACTGGCTTTCACATGTTGAACCAACCTTGCATTCCTGGGGTAAACCCCACTTAGTTACGGTACATACTCCTTTTCACATGTTGTCAGATCCAGTCTGCAGGCACTGTTGAGGATTTCAGCACCTATATTCATTCATAAGACTGGTGCAGTTTTCTTGTGGTCTGTCTGGTCTCGGTATCAGGGTAAAACTGACCTCATTAAGCTGAACAGTGTTCTTCCTCTCCTGTATTTTGGTTCTCTGTGAGGGAGCAATGTTACTTTTTCTTTAAACATTTAATAGAATTCACCAGAGAAGCCATCGGGTCCTCAGTTTTTCTTTATGGGTTTTTTTTCTTTTTAATCTCTTGTTACTGACTATTCAGTCATCATTTTTACAAAAGAGCAATTTTTGATTCAACTCAACACATTTTTCCTTCTACATTTTTGTATTCCTACTACATGTATTCTTTCTATGTTTGTATTCCTAGTCCAACACTCAACAAGGAAGAGAGTCTTGGAGCTTTCTCATCAACTGGAACCAGCTCTTTATGGTTCACATGTGGTGGATTTTTTTTAAGGTTTGTCATTTGCTTTTGAATTCTGGTTTTGGGACTTCCTGGTGGTCCAGTGGCTAAGATTCTGTGCTCCCAATGCAAGGGGACTTGGGTTCAACCCCTGGTCAGAGAATGTGACCCCACATGCCTCAACTAAAGCTCCCCGTGCCAAAACTATGGCCCAAGGCACCCAGAACAAATAAAAATAAATAATTAAAAAAAATAATGCTGGTTTTATCTTATCTAGTTATACCAAAGATTTAAAGCTGTATTAATCAAATCTACATAATGTTTCCTTGGTAACGTGTTGCAATACAACTTTTAAGATTATAGGACTTCTCCACTTAATTAGCTGATGATAAACTATTTCCTCCAGCACCTCCTTGCCCTTCAGTGGCTCACAGAAAGTAACCCTGTCTGTTTTCGTGACTGAAACAGATCCTGGCAAACACCCTCAGCTGAGACCTGCGAGAAACCTCTGAAACTCCCGTCCAGCAGTACGGCCGCTTCAGGATGTGTTGCTTCAGACCTTCTCCAGGGTCTGCTGTGGGTTTCCTCACAGTATTTGCTGACAAAGAAGTGCATTTTCATCTGTCATCATGTTTTCAGCCACTTTCACAAGCACAGGAAGGAAGCATCTTGCCAATGACACAAGGCCTTTTATCTTTCACAAGACCCTTTTTATCTTTCACAAGAACCTCAGAAGAGGATTCTACATATTTATCACAAAGCTAGCGGGAGTCCTCTGAAATTCTGGGCTGCACCCTGAACACAGCAGACGCCCCTCCCCGTCCTGGGCTGACCTCCCCCGGCACAGCACACCCTTGCAGAGGCTCTTGAAGGACAGAAGGGCTGCAAATCCCTGTTTCTGAACAGGCTTCTTAAGGAAAGAACGTTTCTGGCCCACGCCTCTGGGCACGGGGCGAGATGGGCAAAGCTGGAGGAGGGAAGGGCGTCGCCGGCCCCTCTGTGCTCCCTCTCAGGGAGGGCGAGGCCACCTCAGCACTATAGCTGGTTCCTCACCAGCATG